TGTAGTTATTGCAGTCAAGACATCATTTCCCTTGTAATTACTAAAACATTGGTTACCTTTCTAATTTTTTGACCCAAATATAGTGTACGGATTTAAGGAAACTGAGCATTACAAGTCCACTAAACAGCACAACATGTTACCTTGGTCATTAAGACTGTGGATAGAGGCAAGAGTGGCTCCCACATCTAGGGCGCACTGGGCGGATGCTTCATCCCATGTTACCCTGGTTTGTGCAGCCCCAGTAGGTTTCAAGGCAAAGCATTTTGATGTACCAGAGAATTGGGAGTAACCGTCTAGGCACGTTCCCTGCACCTGAACTGCAATTAAAAGATGGATATTTGTGAAAAAGAAGACCAAAAAAGAAAAAAACAGTTGCAATGGGATTGGGAGCAGAAATCCCAGATAGAACATTGGGCAAAACATGGACACTGTGATTTGATGGAATAGTATGGCAGATAGGTGATTGAATTGTGCCTTTGATGATACAAGCATGGCATTTGGCACACAGTCAGAGTCAGGCATGCAACTGGGAAGTCACAAAAAAAGAGGAAATTCAAATCTTTCCCAGACTTTGTACAGTGTTTTTCTATTTTGAATGGCACACATGGGAAGTAAAAAAAAGAGGAAATCAGCTGATCCGAGGAAAAGTTGCATGTCTGCAGAGTATGTCATGAGAAAGATATTTGGCTAAAAGGCCATCACAGATTTGTTCTTTGACAAAAATATAGTCTCAAAAACATGTAGTTGACAAAAACAGCCAATGGCGGCCATTTTGAAAAATTTGAAAATTGCTCGATATTCTATCAATGTTTTTAGTTCAATGGGTTTTTTTTTCTTTCTTTATATACCATTTTCAATTTTTTTTTTCAACTATTTAATCTTTTGCAGTTTTTGCAGCTTTTTTTTACTTCAAATGTCGGCTGATGACTGCAAATGGTGCCTGACTAAATTTAGTGCAAAATATATGGGAGTCCAGAGAGGCCACATAAAGACACTCGATCGTAACCCCGTCTAAAAACATGTTAAAATTGTGCAGCAGCAGGATTCCAGTCAAACCAGTGAGTTTGGCGGGTTTTTTTTTTTTCATTTTGCCGATGTGCATGGCTACGGCGACGCGCGTGCATATCAGAAACCGGAGATTTTTTTTTTGGCCTAAAAACATGTCTTATTTCTTTTTAATTTTTAGATCTTGATTAGGAAACTGAATACTTGTAGTCAACCAAAATGGGTTTACAGACCACTAATCTTAACCACTTACAGTACAAAAGTAAACAAAAACTTCAAAATTATTCAGCTGTATCAATTATTTGTGCAATATTTTGAATGAGGCTAAGGTTTTGTTTACTTTTTATGATTATGTGGTCACACCCCTTGGACTTTTCCCTCGGCGAGTCAATTAGATCCACGCCTAGATTGCTCAGGCCAAGTTTGCAAACAAGAACACAAATGTGGCCACGAGACTTGTGGATGTTCTTTAATATAAAGAAAACAGAACCACAGAGAATTACAACTCATCTTATCGTAAGATTTCTAAAGTTGCATTCGTTGAAGTCGTATTTTTCGTGTTTCATCATGAAAATTAGATTCCTTTTTTCAATTGGCATTTTCTTTAGCAATATGTTATTCATTTTCAAATGAGCCATCGACCCCCAAACATGGCCCACATTAATAGTCACTGAATAAGTATTTTGCAAATTTGGCATTACTTGCGGCCTGACAATAGTTCCGTTCTCACGGGGTAGGCTGGTTCCTGCCCCATAATCAGTATTGATAATTTACGGACCGGGAACCAGTCTGCTCACAAGGATTGCAGACCCCTCAAAAAAAAGGGAAAAAAAGGAGTATTTTTTTATTGGAATAAAACATACAAGTTGAAAGTTATAATAAGAATAAAGTGGAATTTATTGAAGAGCACTGGGAAAACGACTTTAATTTTCAAGGGTTTAAAGCCAAAACAATTTAACATTATGAATTAAGTTTTTGCTTTAAGGGAATATACATCATTTGCTTTTGCTGTAATTTTCAGAAATGGATGGAATTGGGGGGTTGGAAATTTATAGCAAATATAGTTACACTTACTTTTTTGAGGTTTTGGGTTCGAAAATGCTATAAAAACCAAGAAAAACAATCATTTTCCTGTAGTCTGGTTCCCTGACTCCATATAAGAAGAAACAGAGCAGTTTACATACATTGGGGAATTGTAAGGTCAGGGAACCAGTCTAGCTGGCTCGTACCCGTTCATAGGTTTGTAATCAATTGCAAACAAGTGCGATGGTCAATTGGGGCCAGTATTTGAAAAAAGGCCAGTTTTTTCCAACGCTGATCGACTGATCAGCGTTGGAAATTGATACAAAAATATCACTTTTCTTGAAAATGACAGTATACCAAGTGCCATGATTTTACAGGATGCTTTACACTGTCATTCACTAACAGTCCAGCAAGGTATTTCAAAATGATTTGGTAGTTTTATTTTTTGATGTTTGCAAATGTTGTATTTTCCCTTTAAGTTAGCCACTGTTGACCAATTTCAAGAACACATATGTAGGAAAATGATTTTGAATTCTTTTTGAAATGATTTTGAATTCTCTTTATTTTTTTAAATGATCTTGAAATAGTTGAAAAGATACTCTGCCACAGAAGTGAATGTATACTGGAGAGAAAAGGCAGAAAGAACCCATATCTTCAACGTATTAACATGTTATTCTGTGTAGTTTGAATGCAACTCAAAGAAAGTCTTATAGAGAGACCAGACATTTAAAAGATTAAAAAAAAAACACCTGCCCCTCCCAAAAAAAGAAAATGCTCAAGCAGTGTTCTTCAAAAATATTATAGTTCCCGTCCTCATCAGCTGCTTTTTTTATTCAAAGACTATTTTGGGGCTAAAATACAATGTCAATAACTTTAAGTTCAGCAAGACCTACGGAAAGAAAACAAATTTCCACAAACTATAATTGGAAAGAATGTTGCAACCTGATGCCACTTTTTTCTCTTCATATTCTTCATATATCATCTCAATGAAGTACATTCATTGCAAAAATTATGAGAAGACATGAATCTGGGACTGAGAAACATTTCCCATTTTGTTAGGAAACACTTAGACAATTTTCTTGACTCTCCATAGACCTTGTACACAACAGCTGAAGTGGCGTCGGGTTGCAACATTCTTTCCCTAAAACATTTTAAATGCATACATATTTGTAGCAATAGGCAAAACAGTTTCCCAGTAATAATGCCTTGTTATGTATAATTCCTGTGACTGTTTCTGGTTGAGTTATACTTCACAATTAAATTTTCTAAGCAATATTTTCTGCTGGGCAGCTCTGTGTACAAGAATGTTTTGCCGGAATGTCCCATGCAGTTTTAGTATCGTCCTGAGAAAAAAAAACCCAACCTCAGATAATTCTGAGTAATTTTTACAATTTGTGAACTTACCAATGGTGCACAGGAGCAAAATGACACTTAGTCGTAGCATCGTCTCAAGAAAGCATCACAGAAATAGCCCACTATATGGAAACGGCACTCATCACCGGCAGCAAAACCCAGATGTGATTCTAATTTCCGCACCAAGTTGGCTCGCTCGGTTCTTTTCTTTTGTCTTTCCTTGTTTAGCGATGCCTGGCACTGGTGTACTCCCTAATGGCCGAGGACAAAGTTTCCCTGATAGCACTTTGCTGAAAAAAGAGGGTAAAAACGCACAACAGAAAACTTGGGAGGTAGATTAATCATTGACATGATGACTGATAAAAAATGGAAATTACCGCCCAAATGGTACAAAGTACTGTCGGTAATTGCAGGATAATCACCCAAAAATGTTGAAACAAGAATTTGGGTACTGGAACTAATGTCCGGAAACTTTAAAATAGCAGAAGTACTGTACAGTTATGAAACCTTATCGAGGCAGTTTGACTAGGCGGATTGGAAACACTATTCATAGGGATGCGAGTGGTCTTATGAGTAAACTTTAAAAAAAGGATATTTAACTCCAAAACTTTCCTCCCTATTCCAAATTTTCTAAAAAGTATTCTCGTAATCCTTCTTTAATTTCTCCAATCCGAGTCACAACATACAAGGCTTTCAGATTTAAAGTCCAAGTAAAAAGAAGTAGTTGCATCTAAAAACCTCGAGTAGCTTTGAAAAATACTGAAGCAAACAGCATGAGACCGTCTAATGACTGCACTGGTTTTTGGGACAGGTTAAACGTACTTAAATATAAAAAGGCTAATTTGTATACTCTTACCTTTAACCACTCATTTTCATCACATCACTGCATTTAATGTTCTCAGTTGCCTGAAATGCATACAGCTATCTTCAACAACAAACATTTCAGGTTTAAGTTATGAAAATTAATAGGATTGCTGCAAACTGCTTACTGAGTGGGTTGACCTGAAATATACAAATCTAAAAAATGAATGCGGCCCGACGTTGAGAACTTAACAAGTTCTTCCATAGAGGCTAAATGGCGAAGGTACAAGCAACAAACATGGTGAGTCCCTACATGTTTGTTTCTTGCATCTTCGTCATTTAGCCTCTGAAGAAGAATTTGTTAAGTTGCAATGTCAAGCCGCATAAATTTGTTTAGGTATATATTATCTTAAGATATTATACAGTTCTCGACACAAAAACAAATTTTGAAAAGCATAAAAGTGGAAAGAGACAGAATAATGAAAATTAATTTTTTTTTTAACAAACTGTCACATTTCCAAAATTTATTTTCTGAGGTCATCACAGCCTTGATAAAATGTGACATATTCTGCCATGGAACAAAGCACTCACGGTCAAATTCTAAGCAAGACAAATATCAATTTACAAGACTGGCGTACAGATCTTTTGCGTTAGAGCCATCTTATAATTCTTGCGCTTTTAACATGTAAACACATGGGTAGACCACATGTACATGTATTGATACTGAATTAAAAATTACAAAAACCCCAGCGAGGGTTGCAGAACGCAAAGGCTCTATTGAGACAAATAGCAATAAAACATACGTCTGAAAACACAACAGCGTTTCCTTTGGACATTTAATAGAACTGCCAAAACTTAAAATATACAACCATAAATACCAGCATGCAAAGGTCTTTAAATCAACTCCATAATGAACTAATGAATCCTATGAAATCTAAGCCATGATTAAAAATAAATTGAACCTTTTGTAATTCCACTGTTGTTATTCAGTAACATTTCTATTTTAAAAAAGTGTACTTCTCCAAAAGTATATGATAAATTTCAATTATTTTCCAGGAGTTTTATATAATGTTGACAGTATTTCTGCATGTTACAGCCAATGCAAAATTTAATGAATAATCTGGCTTGAATGTCTTCCAAAATTGAGATAAAACCAGTAGGAATGACCCAACACTTAAAAAAGTTGTCAAAGTTAATGTATTCTATTTAGCCATTTCAATTTACCATAATTTAACGAAAATTCAAGAAAATAAATTTCTAAACAAATCCCAAATGCAAAGACAGTTATGAATCTGTAAATGACAATGACCGTGTTTTACATAACATACTTTTTTTTTTTGTAAGAAGAAACAAATTACTTCTCACATGAAACTTATCACAACCTTTACTGGAGTGTTAATACATTTTGCAAAAAATTTAAAAAATGAAATGTATAAGGTGCTTTTTACCCAAATAAATGGCAAGAATTATGGACCATACCCAAAAATAATTGAAAACCAAAATATGACAGGATTTTGAGACAACAATTGGTTAGAGAATTTCACCCAAAGGCTTTTAAGTAATTTTTAGTAATATTTTTTTTTTTAATTTTGATGAAGCACATGCGCATAAGAAACTTCACAGACAGTACACACGACAAATATTTTGCTCTTGTCTTATCGAGTTTGATTCATTGTTATCATTTTTTTGTTTTTGTTACCATCAACTTCGATCATTATGATGCATACAATTTTGGCTTTTGTTTGTATTTATTCATCAAACACATTCACTATAATATAAATAAATTACATTATTCCTTCAATTTCGGTTTTGTGAAACTAAGCAGCCACAAGGACATCCGTCATTTTGAAAATATTTCAAATTGGACAGCAAGGATTGAATGTTCCATGCAATTTCTTGCAAATTAATACAAGATTCGGAAGCATGTCAATACATTTACTGTGACCGCTATACATAGAAATAACTGTAATTAAGGTTGTTTTTGATGGAACCGAAGGTCCAGCTTAGTGTCCTCTTACTGAGTCACTGACTGACCTCAGACAGACCGACTGACTGCCTGCCTGACTGACCGAGTCACCGAGTGTAAATAATGACCGAAACCAAGACTTTCCAAAACCAGCTGAACAGGTAAACCCTAATCTTGTTTCCCTGTTTTTATAACGACGTGTGACAGAGTTAACTCCTGATGCGTTGACTCAATGACCCAATTCACCCACAAATTACAGGACTGTATAACAAACAGGAGGGCCGCTCAACAAGATCCAATCCAAACAAACTACTTGACAGATAAGATCGACAGTACCCATTGAATTCAACTACATGATCTTGTCTTGTTTGGGCAGAAGCGGACAAGTAGTTCAAAGTCCGAGTCTCTATTCTAAAGTTGGCCAGTTATCTGTACTGAATGACTTCTACTTAGATTACCATCACAGCACTAATTTGTCTCTTCCTGAAGTGGAGGGACGAAAAAAATAAGATCACCCACAGGCTATGAAAATAATAGTTAAAAATAATTCAGGACTAATCTAAATTGACCTATCGCGGTAGAATCGCGTCAATGCAGCTAGTGAAATATTGTCCAATTACATGATGTACAAATGAACGCAGAACGCGCAAATTCTGAGACAAAACAAAACTAAACGTACAAAAGTTTCATAGGGTTGTCTAAGGGGCGTGGCACACTCGCAAACAGCGATAGGTCAATTGCCATACATGGATGAAAACCTACATTAAATGTAATAATTTAAAACTGGATGATTGAATAGAGGATTACTTCACGAATTTGCATATTCTGTATTTAATGAAAACCAATGGCATATAGTCCATAGGAGCATCAACAAATTGGGAAATTTCTAGCTGCACCAGACTTTCTAAAGTTTTGTTTCTATTTTTTTTTTCATGACGAATGTGGAAGGAAACAATGAAGTAATTAGCTGACCCAAGTAAAACTTTTATGCCTGGTGCATTGTGCTGTGCCTTTCATTTTTTTTCAAAACCTACCCAGTAGGGTAAACCATTGTGCTAATGCCAGCCAATTGTCATTGGCTGATATTATCTCATGCATATTTATGAGCCTGGGTATGCATTCATTATGCATATTCATGACCCGGGATATTCCATTTATTATGCATCTATTCGTGAAACAGGCCTTAACAGGGTACTCCAATTATTATTCATATAGGTATTTCATTTATCTTGATCGGATACGTTGTCCTAAAAAGCAAGCAAAGTGCCATTGGCTGACTGTGCCTCATGCATATTCATGAGTTGGGCTATTCCATTTATCTAGATAGGTCATCCTCCTCAGCGTCTGCAGTCACTGCCTTGATGTCAGCTAGCGTGCGGACAAACCGAGACCACTCGTCGTGTCTGGGTGTGGCAAGACTCTGTCGGGGAAAATAAAACAAGAAACACTTATCTAGTGACTTTCTTTAAAGGTAGAGTATATCATTTGCAGTTATCCAAAAAGTAACTGAGGAAATAATCGTTGAAATGCATACTTGGTTTAAAGATAGTAACGGCACTAAACCTCCCTGTAAAAAAATACTTTCTGGCATGCTGTCATTTTTGGAATTTTCATTTTCAATTCAGCGAAGCCGTAAATGGGTGCGCGCAAATGTAGACACGATGCACACAGGCGCATGGTTGCTATAATTCTTCGGTTCAGTGGGTGACATGTGTCCCAGACGCTGATTGCTGGCACATTTCAAATCATGACTCGGCAAACCAAGATCCTACAATATTGTTTTCTTGGAATATACAGCATTCACTGAGCTAAAACTTCATCAGGTTAGTTGTTAAGCACCCTTCTTTCGGAAAATGCCTCCATAATTGCCTATTGATTTATTGTCCTTTCTTTCTTATCCATAAGATCTACATGTATAATCTTAATGATAGTATTTATTACTTGACTTTGTTACATTGTTTTATAAAAGTTGCGGCATTATGGATATAAATGCTGATTGAATTGAATTGATTTTGAACACTTTTGTTGCTTCAAAGGAAAAAATGCACAAATGACAAATGATCTTGACTACCTCAAAAACCACAGGAGCACTCAATAATTTGTATGAATCCTTCAGTGAATACTTAATAAATACAATCTCATACAATGTAGTTCAGGTGCTTGTGTAATGGATTCACAATCAATAAAAAGAAACCTCACAGTAGCTCTCAAAACAATTGAACAGAATATAAAAGCATCAATTTTTGAGGTCAAACCTCTGTGTTATGAAAACATGCTCGACTGTTGTTAGTTTGATAGGTTAGTAGAAACCAACTTAAAAGCAGTACCTGTGGACTGAGGCATTGGACATGGGTTGCTCACGGGAGTGTGCTAAGTCTTCTACAGGGCATTTTGTGAAACAGGACGAGGCCAGCCTAGTAAAGCTGTCCCAGAGTGCACCATTCAATTGATTGAAAATGGCTGTTTAGCGGAAACCTTTTTAAGCATGTTAGTCTACACGATGGGCCGTATTTTGCCCATTCGTTAGAGTTATCGGAAAATCCTGTTTCAAACTCTTGGGCCAAGGTGAGACTTAACCCTTTCAACTCAGCCCTGTGTAAAATTGATTGCCGGCAATCAAAATTTTCAAAATATTGTACTTTGTGTTTGCCGCCCACTTTGGACTCATGTTTGATCCCATTTTTCAGCTTTATAGACTGGCTACCCAGTGGTGTTGTTTGCTTATGTATGGGAACGTTACGTTTTCATAGGTGAAGTGAGAAAGACGCCAGACCTCTGTTGTATACCGTGCGTGCTTTGCGATTTGTCTTGTGACGTTTATGAATTCAAGTACGCTTTTGTCACCTCTTTTGCCCTAATTCCTGCCGAGATCTGCCCGGGAAAACTCCTACTAAAATCTTGGATCTTTCATTCAAAATGTTTTATTGCCTAGCTCAAAAACTTTCAGATGGTACATAAGTTACCCAGACATGATAAAAAATACTACTGAAAAGAGTGCAAGAATTTAACTCAGTCAAAAAAACCCTCCAAATTAGGGCTGAGTTTAAAGGGGTTAAGCAAGCCTAATTCACCATTGACGGGGAGTCAGTCAGTCAGTCAGGTTCAAAGAGGACTTCACGCTGCCCTCTGGAACCAACAAACACCACAACAAGAGTCACAGCCATTCCAATGGGCTCCACCCAGTGCTACCCTGTGGGTAGATCTCCATTTGCCGCTCTGCATGTTCCAGCCGCGTGTGTTTTGCGCCAGCGCATGAAAGTTGGACTTTTCACACACAAAAAATCACAGCTGTGATTGGTCAAAACGTCATGGGGCAGGGCTTAAGGGTGAACCCTAGTATAAAAACAGGTGTTCAGGCTGACGGACAAATTGTCATCAACATGTCATCTTTCCTTTTCTTTTCAAGTTTTGGTGGGTTGACCATTGACTTTTTTGGGGAGAAATTCTCACCCGAAGAACACCATCCTTAAAACAAATGGTGCTTTCCAAACTGGAAAAGCAGACATTTTGAAAAAGGATCCCTCCACAACATGGCTAAATAGCGTCCTTTTCGGACCCAATTGCATCCAAAGTGCTCAGAATTGGAAGCCCCAAGTCCAGGCCAGAGGTTCATTGCCATATCTCTTCAATTCCCCAATTCCATGGCTCTCGGAACTCTCTAATATAAAACAATTGGAGTGTTTAACTTTTACTCATGAGCTCGGCGAACGGATTTTGGGCCTATTTACTGGGGTGTACCCTTAATGACTCAATCTTAACTCATCAATAGAAGTTATAAAGAAGACCTAGGACCAAAAAAAAAAGCATTCTGAGGAATTTCATGAATTCAGGTAGTGATAAATCAGTCAAAAATAAAGTGAGTTGAAAAATTAAAAAAAATTAATTTGTACAGAAATGGAGATAATGGACCCCTCTGTATTTGATCATAAGCCCTGCCCACGTCACATTTTTCACGTTCATGCGTAGACAACAGAGCGCCCTCTACGTGCAGTAGACTGGTTCTTTATTGTCATGTCTGGTGCCTTACCTCCCCCACATCGTAGACAAAGACCCTGCCCTCCGCGTCTCCGGCTGCTATCTGCTGGCCGTTGTGAGACCAGCGCACACGGTTTGCTGCAGGCTGTCCGTCCAGAGTCACACTGGCCGTTGGCACCTGTCAACGACACAACAAAATTAAGAAAATCATCAAAGAAAAATCACGATGGATGATAAAGACGAAAACTTGGATTGATGAGCCTGTACTTCTGAACCAAGTCTCGTGATGTTACAACAATTGATCTTAGGCCAAAAAAAAAAAATACTAGGTCTCTGGTCAGACCAAAGTTCCGGGATTGATGCGGCGACGCGTTTTTTGGGGTTTTTTTTCTTCTTTTATTTTTTTAAGCTTGGATTGTACAGACAAGGTGGGGTACTATTTTTGCTTTTTTGTGTCCTCATGTACATTGGTGTCCTCCATAATTTGCCTTGGTGCCCTCGATCATTTGCCTTGGTACAATTTCTCATTCCTCAGGCATGCAACTGGAAGGTCACACAAAAAAGAGGAAATTCAAATTTTTCCCAGACTTTGTAAAGTGTTTTTCTATTTTCAATGACACACATGGGAGGTCAAAAAAGAGGAAATCAGCTGATCCAAGGAAAAGTTGCATGCCTGATTCCTTGGTGCTCCTTGGTACAAAAATTTGAGGAGGTGCAGCAATAGAGGGCGCTGTTGGAGCTAACGCGGAAAATTTTGGGAAAAAAGGATTGAAGAGCATGATTAAAATCGACGCGTGCGCTGACCAGAGACTGACAATTTTTGGGGGGCTTTATATCTAATTATTCCATTACATATTCTGCAAAAATACAATGCCGTTACTGCAGTATTTAACAATTGTTGACTGCCGTGATGTGGGATATGACGTTTTGAACACCCGAGAGCCGCATATTCGCCTCGGGTGCTATGCACCCCGAGGGTGTTCAAAATGTTATATCCCACATCACAGCAGTCAATAATTGTTTTGTTATACCTCTGTCTTGGATTCTTTGGATTTTGATTGTCAACTCACATGCATGTTGCTTGCTAAACAGCTGATTGTCTGCTAGTTCACTGCTCCCACTCATGTGTGAAACATGGTGGAAACAGCGCGGGTACCAACGATACAAGCATTTCACACCGTACGTAACATACGTACAAAGTCATAGCACACTCCCTGTGGGATATCACATACGTGATATCCCACAGGGCCGTGTGCCGTGACTTTTTATAAACCCAACACATGATCGTTCAAGGCCAATGAAAATACAGTTTTCAAGACAGAGGTATAACAAGATTAGGTGGCACGCCCCATCATACATACACCTACAAGTCATACATTTTGGTTGTTTTTTGTTTCATTGCTTAAGAGGAATGCAGTCACGCGGCTATCAATTGTCTTCTGATTGTAGACATGTAGAAAGTGTGTTTGGTTATACTGGCCAACACACTAAGTTTTCCAGGGACGTCGTCTGCATATCCTCAATACAATTTATAACGTTCAAAGAATATCTTAAGTTTGAAATTAAGGGATAATGTTCACCATATATGGGACATTCTCACATTCATTAATATTCACAATACTAATAATCAATAAAAATAGAAAAATAGTAATATGTATTTATAAAGTGCATGGGCCAATGAAACATTCCAAAGACAATCTTAGCTCCTTGGGGAGTACATGTATACAGACCGATGCTGCCATTTTGGCGCAAAGCAGCTAAAATCAATCACAATAACAATAACCATCTCTAGCCTCACAGGTACCCATTTACTCCTGGGTGGGGAGAAGCAATGAGTGACAAAAGTGCCTTGCCCAAGGGCACACGTACTATGACCCCAGGCTGGACTCGAACCCACAGCCTGCAGAATTACCCGCAGACCACCAAATTCAATGCTCCAGACCACAAGGCCATGGCACTCTACCTAACATGACAATAAAGTGAATGTTTGTTTTACCTCCGTCTCATTATTGAGATTCCACAGGTCCAGCTTGCCCATCCCATCCACGGTGGCAAACAAGGCAGGGTGGACCGGAGACCACTGCACATCATACACGTAGTCACTGTTGTCCTCAAACGAGTACAGTGGCTTGGATTGCTACGGAGAACAAAAATCAAAACAAAAAACAATAAAGGTGGTGTACCTTAAAGATGACGAGGGTAAAATTACTGTTGGACATCACACATTTTCTGACCTTTTTAACCCTAACTTCCCAGCATGGTTTACTAGGAACCATACCCATCCTGGCATATTCCAACCATATGGGAAACTGCGCACGCATATTTCTGACTTTGATTCTGGGGGTGTGCCAATCCAGTGTAAAAGACTGTCAGTTTAGGGGTACTGTACCCATCCTGACAGATTCCAACAAAACATGCCGTTGGGGTTTGATGGGTTGAGTTCTGTTAGGGTTAATAAGTATTTACCAACAAAAAGGGATGGTCTAAGTCAAATTGTTTTGACAACAAGAGTTTTCTATCCAAAGCCGCGTTTCAATGCTAGCTCTTATTTCGTTATAAGATGGAATTTCCGTCGGGGTGATGTAAATTCAATATTTTGTTTTGCCCTTCACCGACGTATTTTATGAACCCTGCATACTCAGTGTTGTCCGGTTTGCACAAAAAAAAATTCACAAGTTTATTCGAGAGAACTCGAACCCAAAACCTTTTGCTTACTCGATCTTAGCCATTTCATGTCTGACCTTGAAGCCAGTACTGCAACCAAACTACTTATAATTTATTTGTATTGCCTGATGATTTATGTTGATTTCACTTGACATAATAGTGACTTGAGTTTCAATTGACTAGCTCATACGGCTACATGGGTCATTCTTTAAATCTAGGGTCCAAAGTGGGACATTTTTCCTGTCCCTGTTACCTTGGTACTTTGTAATTTATTATTCAAGAATCATTAAGAATTACTTCAAATTATTATTATTTTTTGGGGGGTTGGTAGTTTGCTAAATCGTAAGAACACTTGGAAGACGACTGCATTAACCCTAACCGCCCCAAATCCTTCAAAATCGTCTTTGCCAAAGTGGAGGAATTTGGAGGATTGCGGTTACATGGCAAAAGTGTGTTATTGATTTCGTAGGATGCATTTTGTCAAGGTCTTGGGCCAGACCTTGTGTTGTTTTTGCTCAGCCATGCACAAACAGAGGCCTGGTTTATGCTTGAAATCCTCCGTACTGCTCCAGGATGTCACTGGCCAAGCCTCAACATATCGACAGTCACTGCTGCAGTATTTTGCATGATTCAAGCAGTGCTTACCCCTCCACAGACCATATTCAGGAAATAATGGAGGAATTTGCAGGATTGAGGCTATATGCTATTTTTCCATGAGGCCAATTGGAGGATTTTGCAGGATTGAGGCTACATCTTAGCAAAAAGGCCTAGGGAGTTAGGGTTAAAGGGAATATACAACATTTGCAAACATCGAAAAACAAAACTACCAAATTTTTACGAAATACCTTATTAGAATGTTGGTAAATGACAGTCTAAAGCATCCTGTAAAATTATGGCACCTGGTGTGAAGCCATTTTCAAGAAAAGTTGTATTTTGTATCAATTTCCAACGGTGGTTGGCCGACCAGCGTTGGAAAAACCTAACTATTTTTCAACTACTACTCCAAATTTACCATATTTTTTCAGTCCAAATTTTGTTTGCTATTGGTTACAAAATCATGAATGGGTGCAGGCCAGCTAGACTGGTTTCCTTACCTTACAATTTTCCGGCATCTATAAATTGATCCATTTCATCTTTAGTGAAGTCAGGGAACCAGACTACTTAAGCATTTTTTGTTTTTCTTGGTTTTTCCAGCATTTTTGAACACAAAACTTCAAACATGTCAGTGTAACAATATTTGATCTATTATACTAACCCCTCAAATAGTTCATTTTTTAAAATTACAGCAAAAACCAATGATGTACATTCCCTTTAAGGAGAGCATCATTATTATAAAATCATGGATGTCAGATGTAACAGGGACAGGACAAAAAGCGGACTCCACCTTTATAGAATGCCCGACATAAGACTGATGAACAGTAACAAGGCAATATGCCTTCATCACAGTTCATTTGAATAGCTTGTGACTTGGCTTGGGACTGGAGGCCTTGTGATGGACTTGTGAGGGTTCAACAACAACTCCAGACTACTCACTTTAAGGCTCCATAGTTTGATGGTCCAATCAAACGACGAGGACAGGAAGAGATGAGAGAAGTCCAACTGTCCTTGGACGTGATGGCAGTCAATGCCTGTCACTGGACCCTGGTGTGCCTCATATGCTTCGTTAATACCGGCCTTACTGTGGGAGAAAATCAATCACAAAATACCTACATGAAAAGGCTACTGTCAACAAGGGATGGGTATAAGATTTCCAACTTAAAAATATAATGCAAAGATTAAATGTGAAATTCAATATTTTAAAATGTGTTGTCATGGCTTCATTTACATAACAAATATCAACTTCTTTTGATAAGATTTGGAAACATTCGGATGACCAAAAACAGGCAAAATGTATATAGGCAAACCCATTGGGCAGTGAATCAGTAAGAATGGGCGGGCCATCACCGTGTTATGGGTAAGTTTTTTTTATTGTTAGGGAAATTAGGACCGAGTTATGGGGACTTTCTGCTGTCCCCATAGCGTGCTTCGGTCCCCATAGTACCATGGGACAACTCGTGTGTAGACCCCACAACTACGGAAAAAGTATGTGTGTTCATTTGCTCCCTCTTCATTATATATTCAGAACTGTCTAATCATCTTTTTGAATTATTTGAATCAGTTACAACTTCGTCGTGTGCCCGGCAGAAGGGCATATGTGCATATGCCCTTATGCAATAGCGCGCAATCACCAAAATGTTCCCAGCAAAAGGTCATATCCAAAAAAACTGCTCCTATTTTAATGAAATACAAACATTTTTGTCAGAAATTAATACAAGTTGCTCCAAATTTTATGATTCATACGTGCGACAAATTTAAAATTCGTATGATTTACATTACCTGTTGGAGAACATTGGATTCATGATGCGCGCGGAGGAACAATGGAACCTTTCAATGCAATTTTCGTAAAAATGATTTTTGAGTCAGAACGCTTATATGCCCTTCTGCCGGGCACCCGACGACTTGATCTGTTTGACCTGGAACTGGAAGGGCTACTTGTATCCTTACTTGAAAATCAGAAGTTGGGTCCCAACCTCTCATGGCCATACACACTCATTTTCCCTTAAGTATATATGTGTATCTGGCATGATGAAACTTTGCATTGAGGAGATTTCAATTTAAGTTGAGGGAAAAAAAATGTAAAAATAGGTACAGTTACTTTAAGCCATCTTCAATAAATGGTTAATCGAGGCAAGAATTTTCCCGTTATCTTACCTTCCGTGTCTGCATGCCGTGTAGACAGACCCATCCTCGCTGCCAACCACAAAGTTATTGACGTCATTGCTGGGGAATGTCATGCTAGTCACAGCCACTGACTTGGACTGTTTGTAGTGTAGCTCCATACTGTCCTGTACCGCCAAAAAAAAAAAATCACCAAAAGAACAGACTGAAGACAGTGTTATATTAAGCACGAGTTAAAGACAAATGCATTTGTTGAACTGATGTATAGTTGGAGGTTTTCAGAAATTTTCGAAAAAGCATGGAAAGTAGACTATTTATTTTGGATTTGGCAAGACTGGTAGTGCAAGCAATATTATTATTACAACTCATGTATATTCTTGAGCCAAATGAACTTCTCCTATTGGTCTATGTTCCAAGAGTAGTAAAAAAAAAGTACTTTTAGTAAACTTTCTGACGCATGATGCGCATATTCCAATCCGGTACGTAGTACTATTAACTGATACCCTAGGGTTAGCTCCTCGACTTCTAACTATGCCATTGCAGGTTATGTTGTTAGGGGAACCATCCTGAAGCCTTCTGTTAACTCATGAGAATCGTGATATTTGTGTTCTTGGGCAAGACACTTTACTACAATTGCCTCTCTCTGCATCCAGGAATATAAATAAGTACCTGCTTGTAGAGACGACATTGTACTGATCTTAACTGCTGCATTAAAAATGATCTCATAGCTTGATGAACATGGGTAATAATTGTGAAGCCCTTTTAGATATTTGTGTTAAGCGTCACGTAGTCACATGATTATTATTTTTACGAGATGTACCTGAGGTTGTGAGAGCATATCCAGACTCCAGGAACACATCTTGCCATCGGTTGATACGCTGATCAAGTTGTGTGCATTCTGGGTGCCCACAACATTCACGCAGTACACTGGGTGCTGTGGACGAAACGATCACAATAAAAACCAGTCATACTCTAGTCAAACAGTTATAGTTCTGAGAAAAAGAAAATAGCTGAAAAACTATTATTTTTTACAAGGTATTGTTGTTCCCTTTAATTTGATACCACATTTGAGGTTATGGTGCTAGTAATTTTGAATCGGAATTGCCCACTTGTATTTCAGCGGATTAGCGTTGCATTCCATGGGAGTGTGTGGCTTCTCATCCCTAACTATAGGAATGTCCATGCAATAAATGTGGGGCATTTTCTTGTTGTGATTGGTGAAGTTTTTCGTAGGGTATAGCAACAAGAACAAGGCAGATAACCCACCTCGCCAGTGATCACAGCGCATGGAAGGAGATGGCAACTGTCCAGTGACAATCAGTGTTCATTTTACATCATTGTACGCTATTTTTCCCATTGATTTGATGAATGTTTACTTTGGCTTTTAAATTTGGTTTTTCAAATTGTTGTTGCCTGCAAATTGCAGCCCAACGATGATGACGCCGCCATTGTAGTAGAGAATGGGTTAGCAAGAAACAAAGCATGGTATAGAACTCACTGTATGTGCAGCTGCTGATAGCGGTGACCGCTGGACCGGAGTGCGCTTGGTGCTACGGTTATCCCACAAGACGATCTGACCAGAGTAAGTTCCCCCAATCACAAGGTTTGGATGGAAACGGGCGAACGCCGCTGACATCACTGCAGACTACAGACAGAACACAAAGACACTAACATGATCGAATGAACATCCACAGTACTTCAGTACAATTAGGGCCCGTCTCAATTCATATCCGTGACGAGTTCTGGACAAGTTGCGGACATTTTGTATTGGGTATAACTTGCAGTATTCTGAACAACTTTCCTGCAATCTTCCCGCAATGAAGTTATCAGTATTGGTGAGTCAAGCAGTTGCTAATGAAAATGTCCCCGGAACATGTCCAGGACAAATGCCAAGCTTCTTTCGGACCAAGTGAATGATTCTACCTGCAACTTGTCCAGAACTCGTCCTGGGTGTGGGTGAGACGGGCCCTTATGGAATGTTGCATTGAGTGGTGGTCATTCTAAAATCATGGCCTTTTCTCTTATTTTACAAATAATAACCGCTTATGTACAGGGTGATTTTTAGGAGAATTTGAGGAAAAACCTTCATTGCATGTTGCTCTATTACAAAATGTCTTAAGCACTGCATACTCAGTGCTGTCAGTGCGAAGCAGGGCTGTCAGTGGGCTTGTGAGATCAGGTTGGCGCAGTGGTTACTGTCTTCGCCTTCCACAGCTGTGATCCGGGTTCGATTCCTGCCCAGACCACATGTGGATTGGATTTATTGATTCCGTGGGTTTTCCCAAGAATACTCTTCTGGGGTTTTCCTCCCACCTCTAAAACTGTAATTTCATCTCACTGTCTTCTCTCTACAGGTTTCTTCAGGCTTGCAGTCTACAGTGCCTAGGATGCTTTTGAGGAACCCTTGGTTTCATTACCAGCAATAATAATTAATAATAAAACATAATTTGTAAGCTACCTCGGGTGAGACTCAACCCCACCACGTCCTGCTCACTAGTACAGGTGTCTTACCACTCAGCCACCTAGCTTGCCAGGGTAGGCTGGCTGGTGATGAGGAGTTCTTGACAGCATTTCTTACCTGGAAGTGGAAGACAAACTCTGGAGAAGCCTCCTTAAATTTCATGTTCCACACAAGGGCCACGCCATCGGGTTCATGGGGAGATTCTTCATTGTTGTTGTAGGATCCAACCACCAGCTCTGGGAACTACAAAGGAAATAATATTTGAGAGGGAATTCATAAATATCTAATACAGTTTACCCATTCCTATTGGTCGAGAGCCATCTAGTGGCCGGTCTTAAAGGGATGCTAAAGACACGGCTGGCTGGTCTTAAACACTTTTCCAGTGTCACATGAAATTTGGACTCCCATGAAATCCGGTGCCTTTTAACTTCTCATTGGTTGAATGTTCACGTTCCTCACGTATACATGCGCAATACTACCAGTGAATCAGTATGTCATAGTCCGAAATTCACACTACATCAGCCCAGGTGTGTTGTGCGTGACATCGCGCAACGTGGCAGTACCTGAGATGACCAATCCAGTGAGGTGACGGTGCGGTGACGAGACCAACGCTCATCAAAAAACTGATAGTTCAGAGATAACTTGGCTCCTGCATCCTTGTCCCTGTAAGAAGAAAAAAGAAAATACCATACAGGAATGATATCCACACAATTAGAGATGTGTTTTGTGCATGAGGCATGTGAACAAAAGAAGGAACATTATTGAATCGGTTTTAAACACCACCTGAATAAATCCCCGTCATCTGACTGCTGGGTCACTGATCACTGCAAAAATACACAATCAGTGCTCCATCAACCAATAGGGTTTTCAAATTACACGCGCACCTGTGTGGCTTGCGCACGAAAGTCGCGCCACTTCAGTAATGATGATTGAAGGATTTTGTCCAGACACTTACCCTTCGCCATCCTCGTCCCCTTTGCCTCGGTAGTCAATGAAGATGTTCTTGTCTTCCGTCAACGCTCTCTCCACCACCTTGGTGCTCTGACTGAAGAAGTTCAAGAACTCCTCTGATGCCAGGATCTGATCAATCTCTTCCTCAGTCAGTTCTTGTACTGTAAAAGTAAAAAAAAAACATTCAAAAAATAAATTTGGAAATCTGCTCAAATAGGTTTTTTATTGCTGAAACCTCATATGGTATGTTTCAATACTCCAGGTGGGCACTGGAGCGTAAATTGTACAACAACAGGCCGTGCCTAACGGCCAATTCAAGTTCAACATACATACGGTCAGACTCCACAGACCTCTAGGACTTTGTGTGTGTGTACAAAAGGCACAAGGGATTAGCATGTTTAGACCTCACCTGCTGGCGAGTCAAGGCAATCTTAAAGGGAATATACAACATTTGCAAACATCGAAAAATAAAACTACCAAGTTTTTACGAAATACCTTACTAGGATGTTGGTAAATGACAGTCTAAAGCATCCTGTAAAATATGGCACCTGGTGTCGAGTCATTTTCAAGAAAATGGTATTTTTGTATACATTTCCAACGGTGGTCGGCTGACCACCGGTGGAAAAACCTAACTATTTTTCAACTACTGCTCCAAATTTACAATTTTTGTTCAGTTCAAATTTTGTTTGCTATTGGTTACATGTTCATGAACGAGTGCAGGCCAGCTAGACTGGTTCCCTTATCTAACAATTTTCCGACATTTATAATTGATCCATTTTATCTTTAGTGGAGTCAGGGAACCAGACTACATAAACAGTTGTGTTTTTCTTGGTTTTTCAAGCATTTTCGAACACAAAACTTCAAACATGTCAGTGTAACAATATTTTGATCTATTATACTAACCCCTCAAATAGTTCATTTCTGACAATTACAGCGTCAGCCGTGCCTTTGTATCAAAACAACCAGTGCTCCGACGCGGACTGGTTAAAACATGAAATGTAGAGTCACAGTCGCAGAATATGTTAATGTTTGAAGTGTTCAAACCTTTTGGTTCTTCTTCTTTCTCTTCTTCGGCTGGTGGTGCCTCAGGAACCGGAGTGACCGTGGCCGGTGCTTGACTCAATGGCATCTCCTCGTCATCATCTGTCACACAAACCATTACAATCATTACAATTCATTCCTTGACTTTATGAAACTTCATACAAAAAACCCTTTGAAGCTTTAAGGAGATCTATGACAGCTACAATGTTCTTTCAAAACTTCCCCCCCCCCAAAAAAAATCCTCTATCCCACAAAAAAAACACTACAAATCTGCAGGTGGATTTTGAAGACTTGGGAACGGTAAAGGTCGAGGGAATGCTGCTAAATGGATATATAGGGATTGTACACATACACCATTACTCATAAACAGCTTAATGAAGGGAAGCATTTCAGGTTATGGCAAACACAACTTTGCTTGTCCTCACCGATGCATCAACGGAGGCTGGTAACCTCTAATTTCTCTCAGCTCTTGAGACATTAGGGACCGTTAGAAATGGTGCTTGTATAGGATATGACTGCAGCAAAATGGTGATATAACCAGCTATTGTTTTCCGAGGAGCATACGTCTCCCATACGCACACCATTTCTAACGGTCCCTATTACGTTTGACCAACTCCCTAGGGTCAAGTCTTCTTTGTGCGCAGGTGATGTTTGCATTCCATGCACACGCATTGATGATGTTGGTAAGCTACCCAGAATGCTTCGTGAATCTTGCATTTCCTTCACAGAATTTCTTGTGAGACGTATTGTGACCAGCATCCTTGGATATCATTCTAAATGAGCAAATTATATACATCCAGCACCAACACTTTAACACACTTTGGATGGAATAAATCATGCCACAGACAATTTAATGACAACTTGCCTCACAACTGACAACTTGCCTCACATTCTAACTCAAAAGAAAACACGAATACAAAGTGCTCTGGAATGCATGTGAACAAAAATGCCTTTGCAAATGCCTTTTTTTCAAATCTGCATACTGCATTTCAAAGCATATAGAGCTGTATTAAATTACTAGAGCGCTAACTCCTCATTTTTGCACTCGGAGTTGCGTTGAATCCTTCCTGCGCGCAGACATTTTGAACTCATGTGCGTGTTTGTAGAAAATAATACAATTTAAATAGATGGAGTGAATTTTGAAAGTGTACTCTAAGTGCAACGCGCAAGAACAACATACACAAACAACTTATTGCCATGACGGTTAAAACACATCACGGTAAAAAAAACATCTGCAGCGGATGCGCGCACGCATTGCGTTGTTTGCGCAGAGTAAAATGAAATGCTCATTTACTGATTGTGCTTTTCGGTCTTGGGCGTATCTGCTTCGATAACGCACCTGTATAGAATAAAAATGCAGATATGCAAAAAGCCCTACAAAATTTAGAGTTTTCCATAGTTTGTGCACAAACATGGATGCGCCCAGCAGGCATCACTTTGTGTATCAAGTCAGTGCTCTAGTACTTTAATACAGCTCTATGATACTGCATCATCTGACATCATGGACAAATCCAACTCGGATGGATGAAAACTCGTTCGATGTTCACTAGGATAACATTCAGTTCACTCTGAAATGCATACAAGCATCAACCAACATGCAGATCATGCTCCCCAGTTCACTTTTTTATTTAACCCTAACCACCCCCAACCCTTCAAAATCCAACTGCATGTTTTGTTGGAATCTGTTGGAGTGAGTACTGCACTTGGTAAACTGATTATGCTTTACATGGGGTCAGGCAGGCCACCATAATCAGAGTCCAACAGTTTGTGTGTTGAGTTTACCATATGGTGTTGGATTTTGCAAGAGTGGTGACGGTTCCTAGTACATCACTCAAGGGGTTAGGGTTATGAGAATAAACTTAATTATGTGTATTCTTTGCAATGCAATCCTCCTTGCAAGCTCTCACGAGTGGTCAGAGAGCCCCATCATGCACAGTGTCTATAGGTCAGGGCCATAGCCTATGTGCATGTATTCAACCACATCCTGCAAAACCAGGTTTGTATGGACCATAGACATATAATAAAACCTAGACACGACATTTGCTATTGCGCCTGTGAGCAAAATGCTGCGCGTATAGAATAACTTATGAAGTATGCGTAAATCGAAGCCATATGCATTACATTCGCGCATCGCGTAATTAAGCCGCGTGACGCAGCCCGTTTTGCTCACAGAATTCACAACGTAAAAGCAGATAATGTCGTGTCTAGGTTTTATTATATGTCTATGGTATGGACTAACTCGGCGAACAAAATTAGAAGCCATTTTTTTGAGGTGGAACCAGGCCTGCGCTCAGGTAGTACGCACGCACTCCCCTTCCACCAATAGGATTACCAAAGTGTGCGCGTGCCTCGTCTTTAAGAGCGCATGTGGCATGCGTGCAAACATGGTTCCACCACTAAAAAAAATGGCTTCCAATTGTTTGACGAATTAGTGTATATTTATCCTTTATTTTGAGCTTATGGTAGCTAAAGGTGAAAAGCGGCAAATTCTTTGAATCCTTAAATCTTGAATCCTTAAATAGTGGATTGCATTTCTGAACCTTATATTTTGCACACTTAAAAAAAAAAAAAAGGCACTGAATGTTAAGTCCTATTTTAGTTCATTAAATTAACTCCATCACCAAATCAAAACTCCATCTCCAAAACCAAATCAAAATTTGCACCAAATTGAAAAACCTTCATTCACCAATTTCCTTCAATCGTAACACTTTAGAAGCAAGCTTCTTCCCAGTCCCAAAAAAGGACAAAATAAAATGAAATAAAGTGAATCACTTGTGTCATCACGCACAACAATCTCATATTCAACTACAACAACATGCAGAGTGCATCATGCGATTCCAGTTGGACCATTATACCTTCACTGTCTGATCGATCTGTGGCAAGCCAAGTGTGTGGGCATAGCATTGGTGACCACAAAAGAGATATCCAAAGAAAAATCACAGAGACGCAAAAATTAATGATATACACTGGAAGAGAAAGAGGTGCGCACACACACACACACATTTTGTTTCCGTAAACAAATACAATTTCAAATGGCAGATATAATAGTAGGAATGACATCATGCATAGTGGATGTATTTACAAATCTAAGAAAGTTCAGATATTTTGTTGAGACTTTAGGCATTCGGCATTTGCAACAAAGGATGCACACATTTTTAAGCATATTTTTTGCAGCGTATCGTTTGTAGCAGCTTCAGATATGCGTGCCGCTTTTCTGGTGCAGCTTTTGAGGAAAACTTGATGCTTTTAAGCCTTGTGCTTTAATTGTATTTAGTGCAATGGCAGCTTAAATTTTTAGAAGAAATTCCACAACCTGTGAATTAAAATTTCACATCCCAAATTTCTTGGGAAATAAATAGATATGTGTTAAATACAGTGTTAAAAACCAGTTTTGTCCAAACAGCCGCCAAATTTCACCCATCAGTGATAAAAGGTTGTTTAGTAGCAATCACGAGGCACAAAAAAAATCACTGCACATTCACAGAGGCCCCTTAAACTGGTGGACACATTTTTGCAAGTCATAGAGAGCAAGGCTCCATGGAGGTTATAATTCACAGCTGGCCCAAGCTTCCACCACGTTACGGTTGTGTGAGCGTTCGGTGATTCTGTACCAGATTTGTCCAGTCACAAGTCCATCACAAGCCCAATCACAGGGATGCTTTTGTGGCAGATTATTGGAACATTTAGTACGGCAGATAGGTGATGGGATTGTGCCTTTGATGATACAAGCATTGAATTTGGCACAGAGTCGGAGTATGTGAGAAACTGTAAAGGACTCGACATCACTAGTACACTGCAAATTCTCACTAGTTAAACACATTCGATTCCGGCAACTTTCGTTGTGAACATTCTGTGCTGCAAAATTGGCTTTACGCTCGCATTTTCAGAGAAACTAGCCGCTAGGATGTGTACCCACCTTCCTTGTCCTGCGTCTCTGTCGGTGTCTGAGTCTCCTTTGCGTATGTCACTACCTCCTTGGGTGGGAAGCCCATGATGGTAGGCTTGGACCGTCCCAGTTTGAGCTTATGTCTTGGGCTGGCACTGCAAAGGGATAATTGAGACTTTCGATATTGCACTTAGTTGGTTTCTCTGTGGTTCATTTGAGAAATTCGTAATAGAAAGCCGTATTCTCTTTCAGTGATCCCCGTTTGTTATAACCCCTAGGTTTGCAGCATTGCTAATGTTGCTAGCATTATGACTTTGGGTATGGTCCCTGGCTACATGGCTTCTGACTAGCACTCCTTGAACAAAGACATTGACAAAATGGTTATCGCTAATATAGGTCTGGATATCCGGTGGTCACAGGTGCAAACCCCGCTTCAGTCAATTTCTTTGTTCAATTTTTTAAAAACAAATTATAATGTACCTAGTCAGTTTCCCGTCGAGGTTTATTTGAAAAATATGTAATAATAATAATAATAATAATAAGTTGGGAGGCTAATCATCCTTACTCGCAGCTGGAATGCTAAATTGCAAAGGACGCGGCTACAACGTTGTCGGGCCGCTGGCACGTAAAGGCGCCTATGGCTGCCGGCCACATCGACCCATATATGACCACGGAGCACAGCCTGAGATCGAAAGTGTTTGATTTTTCCGGAGGGAGGAAAACCGGAGGGCCCGGAGAAAAACCCTCGTGGCACAGGAGAGAACCAACACACAACTCTACTCACATGCGATCCGCGGCCAGGATTCGAACCGTGGTCACCTTGGTGAGAGGCGAGCGCTTTACGCACAAGCCACCAATGCCACCCAAAACACACATTTCAGACTGGCATGCTAGAGTCACTCCAAACCAAATGATGATTAAGATTTGAATTCAGCACTTGAACAATTTGACATAATATCGTTGCATAATATCAAATCTGGACAACATAGTACCTGGCGATATATGGTGTCGTATCTGGTGTACTGGAGTCCTGACTTCCTCCATCACTTACAGATGATTTGGAAGGTGAGGGTGGCGACCCAGCTATAAAAAATAAGATTAACAAAACATTACCAGATACATGCTCATGTACTTTAACTTTGAATGTGAAATAACAGTTATATAATCAAAACCCTGTAAGTTTCTGGCCCATTGCTCTGTCTAAACATCCCCCTTATCCTACCCCCCCCCCCTCCCACGCACACCAAAAGCCAATATGGAATGGGGAGATTATCTAACAAACCGCAGCCAACATCTAAGATTTGACGAGCTGTGGCACTTACCAGATTGAGGCAAGCCTAACTCTTGTAGGAGGGCGTCTGCATCCTGTCGTTTCCTCTCCAGGTTCTTATCACCCGCCCCCGCTGCATCAGCTACTGCCTTGGTTGCATCATTAGCCTGGCAATCCACGGCAAAACAAAGAACATAGAATACCACAAATGCATTAACCTAGCAATGGAGCGCTGTGGTCCAATGGTTACTGTGTTTGACTCATGTGTGTGATGGTAGGCAGGTTTGAACCCGACAGGGGAACATGGTGATGGTGTTCTTGGGCAAGATATTTTACTACGATATACTCCATCCAGGAGTACAAAAGGGTACCTGCGAGGATTGAGATCGGATATCACTGATCTCGAAAAGGGTACCTGCGAGGATTGAGATCGGATATCACTGATCTCGAAAAGGGTACCTGCGAGGATTGAGATCGGATATCACTGATCTCGAAAAGGGTACCTGCGAGGATTGAGATCGGATATCACTGATCTCGAGCTACTGTAGGAGGCTGGTCTCGTGGTCTGATGTACACGGGTAATGATGAAGCACTTTAAGACTTTGGTATAAAGCGCTATAAAAGCACTATGTTATTAAAGGGAATATACAACATTTGCAATTATCAAAAACTTCCAAATTGTTATTTTTTCCAATTCTGTTCCAACTTGATCATATTTAGTTTGTCCGTGTTTTCTTTGCAATTGATTACACAACTGTGAACGGATACAAGCCAGCCAGACTGATTCCCTGACCTGATAATTACCCAACGTCTATAACTTGCCCAAGTTCATATTAAGTGGGGCCAGGGAACCAGACTACAAGATCATGATTGTTTTTCTTGTTTTTTTTCCAGTATCTACAAACCCAAAACGTCGTGTAACAATATTTGATATAAAATAATAACCCTCCCAATTACATCCATTTCTGAAAATTACAGCTAAAGCAAATGTTGTACATTTCCTTTAACCCTCATTCCCCTCAGCATTTTTGCTGGGAATCTTTCTGAACTCTTAAAAATGCATCACTGTGCAGGAACCCTGTGATACACTCGTTATACTGAAGAATCCAATTATGCACTGATTATGGATGCCAGCAGGTGGGTAGAGGGTACGTGTACTGAATCGTGTACCAGTAGCTGAATCATGAGTGGAAATACTGTGGGGAGGGGAACATTGAAAATTCCCCTCCTTAAGCCCCTTACAACAAACCAAATCAAGCTCGAAATAATCTCTGAAGCTGCGGGCCAATGTGTTCATGCATGTGTGACGTGATTGTGCCATGTATGAGTAGTGTTTTCAGTACAAACATCAGGTTTTGGACCCCAATGACCCAATTTTCCAGGACTGCATATATTGGTAGGCGGTCAGTGGAGACCCATTAAGGGCCTGAGGGACGAGGTGATTTATAGCCATGCAAGGCTGTTGGTGACGTTTGTTACTAACCAACTAACCAACGAACCAATTAACGGAGAAACACGACCATTTGTTGAGCTGCTCAGCCAAAGCTAAAAGTGTATGTTAGAAGGTGTAAATGTATGTACATACATGTAGATGTATCTTTTTCAGTGTGACAATACATTTAGTTTTGTCAACACTTAAATTTACCTACAATGTATGGCACATTCCTAAAACATTGTTTGATCTTGGGCAAGTTTTTACTCCTACAATTATTTGCTATTACAGCCTGTTGTACATTTCACTTGTATGAACCTACCATTTGAACATTTTCTGTACGTTTTAAAATTGTGTGGAAAATGTTTAGCTTGCACTTTGCAGAGACAATATTTGTACTACAGCAAAATGGGCTGATGTTTGAGCAGGAATGGATCGGACAAAGCACGTTACATGGTCATGACAACAACTTCAGACAAAATTACCACCTCAAGTTTATTTAAAGTGGCATTCCACTGCTGATTTTGCAGCTCTTTCTGTGTGAAAATAAAACAACAGAACAACAATGCACAAGAAAATTCAATACAACAATTAACATGTATTTTCTTATCAGCTCTAAGATATTCTAAAACCCTAACCATCAAGGGTATTTTGGCCAGAAACCCTTCCGAACATTCCAAACACAGAAGACCTCCCATATGTTTTGTAAACGATTGCCAAATTGGGGACCTTTGGGAATTGGGGACCCTATTGTCCTCTATTGTTCAACGTCCCCTATTGAATGCAGAAACAAACTCAAGCAAAACTTGCTTAAGTGACAAGCCTGACCAGTGTAGCAAGATCCAGCAAGTCAAAAGTCCCAAGGCTAAACTGCCTCAGAGTCTGTGGTCACTGAATGCAGCAAGATACAACTGTGGCATAGTTCAATCACGGATCCTCTACACAAGGATAAACGACTTCCAAAACTTCTGGTTAGAAGCGTGATAACGGCCTGTGCACATATAGAACAAACAATGCGCTCGAGCGAGACTAGACTTGGCACGCAACTGCAGTTGAATTTCTGTCAAGTCTTGCGTGATTGGGTTTCATGAAGGGGGCGCGCGCCGAGTCTCGCGCATTGTATGTTCTATATGCGCACAGGCCGTTATCACGCATCTAACCAAACCGTTTCGTACACATTGTACATAAGTCGTTTATGCTTGTGTAGAGGATCTGTGGTTCAATGGGATTAGCTCTCATTGATTCAGTACTTGACGTTCGTTAATGCACTAGTGTTGATAGCTAAATGCAACAAAGTGCACACGTACTTTTCCACCTGATGCAGTGTTGCGTCTGGCAGGGTTAGGGTCAAGATACTTCCAGAACTGTAAGGTTTTTCACAAAGGATTCTTAAAGACCAATTGAAAGTGATGTAGAAAAAAATTCTCGATTTTTTCCGACCTCCAATCTCTCCTGCCACGAAATATTTCACAAGTATTATCTTGATGTGGATTAGTACCTCTAGGGTGGGTTGAAATCCCTCAAATGTCAAACAAAAATGTTAAATTTTCCAGAATTGCATTCACCAGGATCGTAGGAGTCTCGAACTCGGCCGTCTGTAACCATTTGCCGTCGACTGAGGGCGCTTTAATTCTCTTGATCAACTACAGCTTGGCTTCCATTCCTAGAGGGTTTTCGTGCCTCACACGATGAAATGAAAGCCGCACTGTGGTTGGTCAAGAGAAGGTACTAATCCACATCAAGATAATACTTGTGAAATATTGAGGTCAAACATTTGGTGGCAGGAGAGATTGGAGGTCGGAAAAAATCGACAATTTTTTTCTACATCACTTTCAATTGGTCTTTAAGAATCCTTTGTAAAAAACCTTACAGTTCTGGAAGTATCTTGACCCTAACCCTGCCAGATGCAACACTGCATCAGGTGGAAAAGTATGTGTGCACTTTGTTGCATTTAGCTGAATTTTTTTCTGCAGCACTTTCAATTGGTCTTTCTGTAAGGTTGTAAAAAGCCTTACAGTTCTGGAAGTAGGGTCAAGAGGGCTGGACTTGATGTACATGTTCAGTAACCATTTTTGTTTCAGCCAAAACACAAACATAGAAAAAGTAAACACACGCTAATCACCAAGATGGGCTATGGGACAAGGGCGGCAAAAGTATATTTGTGTGTGGATCATCTACATGTACTAAGGGTTTGAATTCAGTACAGTATTTTTGACAGAATTTTTCTGATAAATCTTACCTCGCGCATGAAAGTACTTACCTCGCGCATGGAAGTTCGTACCTCACGCATGAAAGTTTGTTTCTAGTTTCTTACCTCCTTCTTCTTTTTTTCTTCTTCTTTGCGTTTCTTCTCCTCTCGTATTTGCTGAAGCCGCAGCTTCTTGCGTTCAAGCTCTGCTTTTCGGTCAGACATCACTCACGTACGAACATGAAGATTACCAACTCTAGATGTACAAGCCTGGCAGAATAGGTCAACAAAAATATTACTTAAAATGCGAATAGTTTATGGAGTTTGTCAGTTGCTACAATGGCGTCAGGATGCTACATTCTTACCGTCACTAATGCTGGACACAGCGACACATGCTAATTTTCCTGATTATGAAATCTAGACTGTTTTTGTTACAGCTGGTGCGTGTTAATATCACATCCTCCGATGCGAACTGGTTAATTGTTTCCAACAAATTTGAAGCCGGTGCCTAGGCATGCTAGGCCCGTGTAGGAAGGTTACAGCTCGTTTGGACTTTGGACACAAGTTAGTATTGATCAGAAAAACAGTTAAAAAAAATGGAAAGACGTTAGACCCAAATGTTAAAGTGTAGTAGGGGCCTACTCCTTCATTTTTTTGGTCAAAAAGCCTGTACGAGAAACTGACTGATTTTTTTTTACTTGGCCTTACATTTTTAATAGACGTCTTAACCAAATTAGGGTCCGTAGAATGTGCCTATCAAATGTTCCCCCCCCCCCCCCCCCGCCCCCGCTACCCCAGGTCCAATGTCGGGATTTGGTCACGTTTTTCATGCCCCAGGGTGGGGATTTTGGTCACTCAAATTACATTGTTAACATTGGGGTACTGATGGAAAGGCAATCACTAGTGCACTCCACATATGTAAGTCGGGGCATGGTCGGGGATTGTCACTTAAATTCTGCCCGAGGGGTGGGGATTTTGTCATTTAAAAAGTGACAATCGGTAATCCCCACGTCTTTGGTGGGGCAGCCCGGGAGGGGAGGGGTGGGGGAAACAATTAATAGACACATAATTAAGAGAACCTGAGGTGCATGCAGAGGTGGGGGAGCGACAAAACTTTCTCAAAAACAAAAAACTGAGGCGTCCTCAACTACACAAACCCCTGAAAAACGGCGATCGTGTAGTGTAGGGCCCCTGTTTTGTTTTGATCAAATTTAGAGTCAAAAATGTTTTTATTGCTCAAATTAAAATCACCTTTACAATCAAAAGCAGACTTTTCTCAATTCTAAGGACACCCGTTTTGCAATTTTGAAGAGTTTTTTTTTTTGGGGGGGGGGGGGAAAATCACGATTTTCCTGCGCGGTTTGTACCTTGTGATTCAGCGCACAGTGCGTGCTCACGGTACATCGCGCTGTGATTGCCATCTTTATTTTCGGGTTGCGTGTTGTCGCCGCGCAGTCATCGTCATCTTACCATGACCATGTCTTACCCCAAAATTTCCCCCCAAAAATCAAAACCCTGCCTTCTATCATTATCAATGACATAGGCCTAACTGTTTATTGAGATAAAATGTCGCCAACTACCTGTACATGTAGTTTGGTCAGTAATATTGGATTTTGTTCCCTAGGAACCGGGCCCTACACTACACGATCGCCAAACAAACTGCATACATGTAGCCTTCGCGTCGACACGAGTACGACTACTAAGACTAGGCCTAAGTAGTAGTAGCAGTACTAGGCCTAAAGTTGCTAAACTTCTGAAAATTGAGAAGAAATTTTAAAACAGACGACAATGAGTGAATGACAATTAACATCAATATCATGATCACTGAATTCTAAATAGCTGGCAATGGATTCTTAAGATTGATGCAGACATAAAATTGTATTGAAATCGAAATTAAAATTCTGTAATTTACAGAATCGCTTAATAGTCGAGCATTATTTATCGCGAAAAATAAAGTACCCACCCTTCTCAAACGACAGCAGCTGCACGGGATCAATATAAATGATTGTTCACGTAGATCACATATATTACGGGATGAGAATGCCTACGGTGGCCATGAGTAGGCGTAATTTATTTTCGCCCTTTTCAAAACTATTGCAGTAGCGTATGTGCTATTTCATCAAGCTTTGATCAAACATTTTTGAAAATCCCCAATAAACATGAAAAGCAAAACCTACGAAGAGTATACCAAAAAGAAATTTGGATTAACAGTATCGATACACGCAACCAGCCCAGCCGAGAAAATTGCATTCACGGCCACCGTGTACTGTGTCCAACCTGTATCGCATGTGTTCTACAAAAAGAGACAAAACCAACTGGTATAAAAAAAATCCTCGCTCTGCATTAATATGGTTTCCTTCGACGGACCATGGAGGTAGAATTAGATCCTGAGTGATTGACCAGTGCGGTAAATCTCTATTGTGGCAAGCGCCATATATGAACCAGCGTTGACGCAACTTAGTCCTCTCCCGTCCAAAAGTAAAAACAAGTCAAAAATCATACATTTCCTACGATTTTTTTTTCAACAATGATACTTCATGCTTTTCGAAACACCCATGTAGCTTTATTATGGTAGTGTCCATGTCGTACACAACTCCTTACATGGAGATTGGCGCGGCGTGTCGCGCGTAATGCGAGATGTCGCGCGTAATGCGAGATGTCGCGCAGAATGCAGCTGTGCTGGTGTCGTATGAAACTCTGACTCGTATGAAAATCAGACTCTTTTCCCCTTTTATTGGTTAAACCCTCTCACGTGACCGGTCCCTCTCCTAATTATCTATGCATGAGCATGCGCAATACCACCAATGAGTCCGTATTTCATAAAACCTTAATTCATGCTACACCGGTGTGGTGTGAATTAATAGGACTATGAAATACTATGACTCACTGGTAGTATTGCGCATGCCTATGAGTGCATTGTGGACGTTCAACAATGATAAAACGGTTACAAAAGGCACCGGATTTCAAAGGAGTCCAAATTTCATGTGACACAGTGTTAGTGTTTAAGACCAGCCAGCCAATCTTTATCAACCGTTTTAAAACTGGCCACGTGACGGGCTCTCGACAAATATAATGGGTAATACCTAAGACTGTATTGGTCGAGAACCCGTCCTGTGGCCGGTATTAAACAGTTGATAAAGACATGGCCGGCTGCAGGGGTGGATCCAGAACACTATTTGGGGGGGGGGGGGGGCGGCAAAAAAATGTGGTCCTTTCCCCAAAAAAGTGGGTCCAGAAAATTACGGCGTGGGGTTCGGGGCCCGGATATTAGATGCTCTGTGGTGCGATCTGGGACAATTTCTGACCACTTTGACCAAGTTCTTTTGAGGAAAAGATGGTGGTGTACGCAGTCGCCTTTATTGCGACGTTACTTTGAACAAAAAATGGTGGGTTTTTTTTTTGGGGGGGGGGGGGGGTCGGGATGGGGGGGGGGTCATGGCCCCCGTTGCCACCCCCCCCCCCCCCCATCCGCCCTTGGCTAGCTGGTCTTAAAGACTTAAACACTTTTCCAGTGTCACATGAAATTTGGACTCCAATGAAATCCGGTGCCAGCACCGTTTTATTGGTTGTGCATGTATCACAATCCTCGCGTAGGCATGCGCAATACTACCAATGAGTATGTATTTCATAGTACGTGAGTTGTTTTACCAGAGCCATTGTATAGCTAGAGGGCCTGTTTTGTTGAACGAAATTGTCAGAAATTTATAATTTTGACTTTTTGTTTTACTATTGTGGACCGAAACATTTTGATTTGTTTTTGACCGAAAAGGTATTTATGAATGCGTGTTGCCCACCTTGAACAAAATAATTTGAGTCTTTCTGTTTTTTTCTTCAGTCTCTCTCCCCCCCCCCCCCCACGTTTAATAGTAGAGGTTCATTACCATTTACCAGTTTTAGCTACCTTATAATGATCTGCAGTTATACAAATGGCAACATGGGTGAAATAAATCACTCTTCTCCCACTGTATGAGACTATTCCCCTCATCCCCTAGTCTGAGTATCACCCGTTACCCACGGAGCCAAGTCTCCTGTAAAACGTCTGATAAAAAAATATGTCTAACCATACAGATTATATGCAAGCCGCGCGCCAGCCAATCGGAGTCGACTTTACTAAATTGTAACGTCACTTCTTTCCCAAAATCAGGACTAATGGTTTGATTGGTCAATTCGAATGCAGTGTTTTGTAAAACAACAATAGCCGGGCAGATATCGCGTAACGTGATACAGAGCGCATGACACAGTTTTTGTTATCCATGTCTATGACGCGCAACGGGTGAATGACCGAAGACTGGGTATAGAAAGCGCTCGCTGATTGGTCAAAATCTGGAGGCTAAGATGCGGTTGTCTGGTACAATTAATCAGCGAATCTGTTCAAATGTAACAGACATAGTACACTCACCCCCCGTCAAAATGCACCTTTGAAATTAAATTCTTAATCGGAGGGTGGACTTTGGCTACTGAATCGAGCCCGACTTGAAATTTTCATCCGATGTGAGGATAGTTAGACCATACTATAATTTGACTTTTTTTTAGTCTAAACTTTTTCTTTCTTACTTATATTAGGATATGATCACTTATCTACTTACTGAAATGAAAATGTTTAAAAAGAAAACAGAAACCTGACCACACACACTATAGCAACGGAGAGGGCAGAAATTTATGCTGTTATGTTGACATTCCTGATCCTTGGTGCTGCAGTGTTGTGAGATAAAGATCATTGCAAGCAAGCAAATTCTCCACGACTTCTGATAAGCGCCACAGCGTCTTTTGTATTCCGAAAAAACACTGTGACGTTGGTTTCTTTATGGCCATGACCCTTATTTGCAAAACACTAGAGCCGAAACTCCGTGGTCCTTTATACTTCTTTAGAGTCTATTTTATTTGCCCATCCTACCAAGTTGTGAATATAAAGGTAGTCGTACACGGAACTAAACTCCATTTTTTATTGCGCATCAAAAAGCAATACCAATTTGTAGTTTACGGGAAATTTATACACGGACATCAACGAGTTTATTTTGCGAGCGACCTGTCCCAGACATGAAGCTTGTTCTTCGTTTGACGACTTTGTCACAGGTAAGAATTTTGAGATCTTTTCGATTTGGTCATAATGGTTTCGAGTCTAGCGGACTCTGCAGTGTACAACCATAGAGCAAACAACTGGTTGGCTCTACATACGCACCTCACCAGAAGAGATTTATTATTGACTGACTTGGCCTATAGGTCTATTCGTCAATATTGATCCTTCAACTTAATCTGGAAATACAACGGTGGACAATTTTGGTCGAAGTGTTTGAGATTGCAATGATCATGGAGGAATCCATGCAATGATGGTCGAATAAGAAGGGCATGAATATAAATATATTCACCTTGCTGATTTATCACAATGGCCTTTCGCTCCCTACAGGGCCTATAGGGAACCATGCTTATGTAAGGGTATTTCCTTTTTAGAAAAGGAACAAAGTTAACAAAGGAACTGGTATTACATGAACTATCTTGGTTCCTCTGTTACCTATCTTACTTCATAGATCAGAATACAATGGAGGCTCAGTAATGACGTGTATGTTTATGACTTCGAATTTTCAGCATATTCGCAAAGTAGTAAACCACTTAGGCCTATATATGCCTGATTTAGCAGTATAAAGATCCTACATAAATGCAAGGATCAAGTACCTCGTAGCGAAATTCAACAAATTTGTCATGCGGGTGACAATAACCGCGGGGGGGGGGGGGTATAACAATGAAGGTTAACAAAGTTGACCTGGATATGGTAATTCTATTATGCTATATCTTTTAGTGAAAATCATGATTATGTATTACTTATACTCTTATGCGACGACAAAGATGAAAACAATTTCCTCCAAATTTGCGATCTAACTTTTGACATGATAAAATAATGCGAGACATTAAAATAAGGGCTCACATATGGCGACTCACGACCAATTATACGAATTCAGGGGCGTAGCATGGTCATTTTTATGGGGGGGGGGGATATTTTGAAAGGGCACTTGCACATCCGTTGGGAAATGTAGACAGGGTTCTTTCCTCCGGACATCTAGCCTCCGTAAAATACAAAAGTCGGGGCCTCGGGGGGGGGGGGGGGATAATGGTACCATCTGTCGGTGGGGGCACTGTTCAAAACCGACATTTATGCGCACAAAGGGCCAATATATGGTGCTTCTCAGGGCGATACATGTGCGAAATTCTGAAAAAGGCACCCAAAACGCCAAATGCCACAAAAAAAGGCACCACTGCTTTATTGAAAAGGGCACTTGTTAAAAAAAAGGGCACTTCGTAAAAAAGGCCACTCTTTACAAATTATTTGGGGGGGGGGGGGTAAGCCCGTTAAAAAAAAAGGGAATTTGAATGGAAAAAGGCAGTCTTTACAATATATTGGGGGGTAAATACCCCCCTTACACCTCCCCCCCCCCCCCCCACCCGCTGGCTACGCCTATGGAATTCATTGAAGCTGAATTAGTTTGCACTGAAACCTCTAGGGCCCAATTTCATAGAGCTGCTTAAGCAGAAAATTTGCTTAAGCACAAAAAAACATTGCTTAGTAAAATTAGGTTACCGGTCAAAACTCCATGTGATGTACATTGCTTGTGACTGGTATTTAGCTGTTGTTTACTTAGCATAACAATCGCATGGAGTTTTGGCCGGTAACCTGAATTGATTAAGCAAGACGTTTTCGTGCTTAAGCAAATTGTGTGCTTAAGCAGCTCTATGAAATTGGCCCCTGTATTTGTACCTTGTAATTGAACACTTCACGACAAGCATTAACGCTCATTAGGTACTTATGGGTGTTAATGCTCGACACAAATTGTTCGCAATATGCAAAGATCAGTTTCAGTGTAACTTGAGCTACTTTCGAAAACGAAATTCGTGCCACATCTTGTCTGCATAGCGCTTCTTCCGTGTTTACACTGGCCTTCAAAAGTATTTGATCTATTTTTACTGACAGCTGAATTCATTCGTTGATAAAATGAAAGAAAACAACCCAAGACAGTGGTTTTGTTTTTAAAAAGAGCGAAAATATAACTGCAGGAATGTGTCAAAAGACTTGTTTGCTAATGATGAATATGATTGGCTTTACAGATGTTATTTGCGGGGGGGGGGGAATAGATATATGGATTTTATAATTATATGAAATATAAATATTGGCAAAATAGGGAAAATGACCCAGATTATATTTGTAGGCTATTGGCCTGAACTCTTTAATCAAGTCATGTTCATTGTTTAGGTCATTATTCCTTTATGATCTTGTTTGAATTGGGCAGGTATTCCTTTTGGTATGGGCGACTGCTTCTGTCCAGTTCAAGTTTGTATCTTTCTACAATTCCGACCATAATGATTATGACGGTGGTTGTTGCGATGACTTCTTTGGTGGCTGCGATGACTTCTGTGATAACTACTTCTTTGTGTGTATCGACGGCGACGATACAGGGTACGTTAGATAGTCGGCATCATTCAAGTGTCAATATAATATATAATTGTTCTATTTCGGGTCAGTGTCCGATATACGCGATGTGCGCGCGCACGTACTACCGGGTGTCAGTTCGTGATACGTGGTTTTCACGAACTAACTCCCACTTGCGCAGACATGTCAGTTCGTGGTGTTGGTGACGATTTTCTGACTTCAAAAAATACAGCCATTTCTATGATAATTTTTTTAAAGTCTTTCATGCTGATGCGATTTTCCATATTCACAAGCAAGAGCTAGAGTGACATCATCTAGAAGCATCAGTTTTACAGCATCTTCAGTGTTTGTGTTCCAAAATATAAGTATTTGTTCGTGTGTGTTGGGGGCCGGGATCGTGGTCGATTCTCTGTTTGTTTGTTGACTTAGTACATGACGGCCCATTTAAAGAATTTATCATGGGAAATGCACCTCTGTGTCCCATTTAACCTTATTTTCAATAGTTTCATGTTTAGTTTTGGAGACAATTAAACTGTGTTCTTTGAACACTGTCAAGTCCCTGTGGCACTTCCTTCGACATGGCAGATACAAGAACAGCGAAACTTATTTTCAATATTTTGGGTGTTTTGGGGGGCATTTTCAATGGTATTTTGGTGCCTTTTGTGTTTTTATGCTCAGGCGAATTTCCATATTCATGAGCAAAACTGTAATGTCGTTCCCAAATGTTACAGCTATTTCAGCACAAAAAGTTGCTATATGCCCTGTAATTTTTTTTTTTTTTTTTGCTGTCGTACATTTACATTTCTTTGGTGATTCCTTAATTGAGTCAGTACATTGCAGTTAACCTATCGGGAAACCTTTCTCACAAATATTTTCAATGAACACATTTTGGGTTCACAGTTTGATCAGAAAGCCCTTAAAATGAACAGTGTCTTCTTGAAATGACATCACAGCAACAGCGTCCTCAGTTGTCCGGAAAACATGGAACATTTTAAATGTTTCTTTTCAATACAATTCAGCAACAAGGGAGGCGAAATAGTTTTCATACATACAGAAAGTTGAACAAAATGTGTTCTTAAGAAAAATTCATAGCATAGGCCATTTAAATTGCGCAATTTTATGTTCAATAATTTCAGTGCACATGTTGGGGTTCATAATTGTGAAGATATCGTAAGTGTAGAGTGCGTGCCTACACTGACATCACAGCGATGCCTTTTTTTGTCAGGAAACGGCACGGAGATACAAACAGGATAATTGAAACTATACTAGTGTTGCGACGCCGTACCTTGAAAATTTACCCCACTTTTAAGGAAATCAGTGACGTCTTGACTCAAGGCTAGATAGATATAAATGAACAATATAAAATATGGAAATGAATATGTAATAAGTGCAGAGTGAAGTTCACCTTCTGAGAAGTTAGTTTGAAGTGGGCTAAACTAAGTGTCGGTTTTGTTACAAACAAAAGAACAAAAGCTCGTTGTGTGTTGGCCGCCTTTCGAGGATAGTTGTGATACCTCGTAGACCTTTTTTGAATTATATATTTCTTTAGGCCTATTGGTTTCATGTTTAGTTTTAAGACCTCTTCAAATATCTAATTGTGTTTAATCATTCTCTTTGAACACTTTCAAGTCCCTTGGGTACATCCTGCGACATGGCAGCTATCACAACAGCGAAACTTCATGAGGATAACGACAACTTCAACTTCCCCTCCACCATACCCAACCTGATAGCGAACCCGTACACCATGCGTGTCGACTCCTGGTCGGTAAGCTATTCAGAGTGGCAGCATGGGACACTATATTTAGCATATTATACAGGGTGACCCAACAAAAAAAATACAACCCTAAAACATTTGACTTTAATAACAAAAAAGTGATTGGTGATTTTTTTTATGTTTTTGGTATCAGACTAAAGCTGAGAGTTGTTCTTTCAAATACTGAACAAAATCATGAAAATAGCACTTTGGATCGCTGAGAAAATGCCAATTATGTAAAAGTAGTTATTTTCATCCTGTACACAAACAATTACCACCTTAATGATTTTTCAAGGTACCTAGTGCATGTCCTAATCCTTACAATCAACAGCCCATATTATGACAAGAGTGCAAATGAATTTGATGGAAATACCTCTTAAGACCGTTGGTTTCTGTACAAATGTGACTGTAACTTCTTGGACAGCCCCTTCACCCATTTTGGAAACATCTCAGTCCTGTGGTAGGCCTGACGGACCTGACCCCTGTGAAAAATATCTGATTCGTGACTGGGCTCAATTTTATGGGTGCAGGGAGTATATGTTTTGTGTATCTGATTAAAGCTGAGAGCTTTTTCCTTCAAATACTGAGACAAAAATCATGAAAATAGCACGTTGGGTTGCTGAGAAAATGCCAATTATGTCAAAGTAGTCATTTTTCATCCCGAACACAAGCACTTCAAACAGTGAAACATTTTACTGTAACCCTATTGTGTTTTGTCATATTTATGATACTGAAAGGGTTTAAAATAGGACTAAAAAGGATGAAATACCTGATCAGGTGGAACATTAAACAATGAATCGTAATTTGCTTTTTCTTCATGAAAAGAAATGTATGGGTTTTTTTTCTCAAGCGGGCTTATATATTTTGCAAATTAAACTAATAAACAGGCCGGCTTCGGAAACGCCCATCCCGAAATCCACCCTTTACACTGCCACTACTCCCCACTGCCGCTGATCTTTGCTCAACAGTTGTGTTCATTTCTTTTTACATCAAATCCTGGTTGGAAGCGTATTGCCTACTGTCTATGATTCTGGGGCTGATGTGTTGCTGCCGGTCTGCGCACAGCTGGCAGTATAAGTCTTTATAATGAAGTGGCTTCAGCCGCTCCCATGAGTGCATGGTTTTTTTTTTCAATCCAACTTTAAGTGTTCGTATTTTCGATTGTTTGACAGGGCAGCATGGAAGTCTTCGTTCGAGTCTGGGATCTGGATACCCAGAATAATGATGACGAGATTGATCGTGATAGAAGGACCATTTACAAAGCGGCTGCACGGAGTCTATCGGGCGCGACGTGGCAGCAGTATAGCCTGGGCTCACGGACACAGTACGTCACTAGGACATGAATGTCAAAAAAGGAAAGATTTTTCTACCAACATCTTTCCGAATTGTATGTTTCAACAAATCAATACCATGCAAAAACAAAACAAACAAACAAATAAACAAAACAAAAAACAGCTCCAGGTGGCACATGAATTATCATTTCACTCACAAGACCAATATGAAATGTCAGGGAAGAATCAAAGTCAGACATTTAGTCATCAATAACTAGGCCTGCCTCTAATTGCAAAACATGTATTTCGTGGGTGTGTGCACTCTAAAACGTTTCTCCGAATGCATGGCTTGAAAAAGTCAACGTTTGACAGTTCTTTTTCGCAGGCTTAACAGACTAGTTAAGGCCAAAAAAAAAGTCTCCGGTTTCTGGTATGCGCGCGCGTCGCCGTAGCCATGCGCGTCGGCAAAATGAAAAAGTTTTTTTTTTCAATGAAAGATGATGTCTCAAAACCGCCAAACTCACTGGTTTGACTGGAATCCTGAGGCTGCACAATTTTAACGTGTTTTTAGATGGGGTTATGATCGAGAATAAGCTTTATGTGGCCTCTCTGGTCTACCATAATATTTGCACTAAGCAAAAAAAAAACAGGTAAAAAAAAAAAAAAAAAGCCGCGTCGCCGCACCACTTTTAGGGCAAGCTCCATACCAGAAACCGGAGACTTTTTTTTTGGCCTAAGGCAAGCCTTTATAGAATTTGGAGATTGTAATTTGTGTAACCAACTCTTAATGTGTCTCCTTTTCTTTCTCGTTTTACGTTTTTTTTTTTTTTTTTACTAGGATCGACTTCAGTTTTCAAGTGAGGGTGTATTGCGACAGTTATTACTATGGCTCCGACTGCAGTGTGCACTGTATTCCCAGGGATGACCAGTATGGACATTACCGATGTCACTCAAATACGGGAGCCAAAATTTGCTACAGTGGCTGGGAAGGTACATCCAGTGTTTCTATAGTCTGTTTTTTTCGCAGCTAAATGGGCGACACACAAACTTTTTTTCAAACACCAGACGAATTGCGGACCCTTCCGGCTCGCGAAACCTTTTTTTTCCAACCGACATCCCATCTTTTCTTATCTTCTGATTGGTCCATTACATGCATATCTAATGCCTTGTTCTCTACAAGACAAACCCAAGATAGGCTTAACGTCTTGTGGGAAGTGTTCCTTCCTCACTTTAGTTATTTAAAAGGTAAAAATGAGAAGAAGTGAAAAACGCTCTCTGAGATTCGAACTCGGATCACTGGTTAGAAGTCAGGACTAGTCTTCCAACCAGTCCACGAATCAGCTGCCAATCGTCGGTGATTTAAACACCATTATTCATTGTTATATAACTTCTTCTCTAAAGCCCTGGACATATCATGAATATGCATAACGCAGAGAGAGCGCCCTCTTTTGATATTATCCGATCTTGTTTGGAAAAAAAAAATCGCTTCCGGCTCAGCTTGCAAAGACGTTAAAAGGATAGCCTTTTGATAATTTATCATAACGGGAATAGGGACAACATTCAGTGATTTCGATGTTGTTTTTGTTCACAAGTATGACTATATGAATTTTGTCATACCATTACATCAATGGCTCTAAGTCTTAGGCGTTAGAGCACGGCCTTTAATTGTAAACTCTCATCAGCATTTTGTCTCCGTCTTCTTGCTTTGCAGGATCCAATTGCGAGCTTGATTACGATGAATGCCAGTCTAATCCTTGTGCTAATGGCGCATGCGTTAACGGGGTCGATCAATTCAGCTGCTCCTGCACAGATGGCTGGACTGGTAAGCGAGTACATTTTAACGATTTATTGTGTAAACAGTTGAGGGCGCTACATATCCTACCCTCTTGGCTTCGTTTTATCGTACCCCAGCCTTGCAAACAGGGTGCTGGGGGCTGATTAGCTTCACAGAATCTTGTGAAGGAAGTACAGACGGCATTCTGGGTAACTTATGATGACCTTCGCATGTACTGTATGCAGCTAGCGCGCGTCACGAATAATAAACAGCTTTAGCAAGTTTGTGTGCTGCATTCTACGTCATAGGTCACGCAAAATCTATCCAATCAGGGCTCAAAAAGATTGGCCGTTCCCAGCGTCCTGTTTGCAGGTCGGGAGTACGAGCGAACCTCCTGGCATGCGGCAAGAACTGACCCATTATTACCTCCGCGAAGGAGGTTATGTTTTCATTGGTTGGTTTGTCTGTTAACAAGGTAACTATTGTTAACAAGGTAACTCTTGTTAATATACTCAAAAAGTTATGGACGGATTTGCACGAACATTTTTGAGGGCGTGCATGGTCCTTGGTACCAGTAGAAGTCCATTAGATTTTGGAAGTGATCAGGATCTGGGTCTGGATCCAGGATTTGTTTTGATGATTCTGCACCATTTATGCGAGTATTTTTTTGGGTGTATACTGCGGACAAGCATGTCCATAGGTGGCGCCCTCCAACACTCGCTGTCATCGCGGTCGTATCCCATCCAGGTATTTCTCACGCCCCACCGAAGGGTCCCATTGGCACATGGCGGGGAATTGTTTAGCCTTGGTGGAGGTTTGCGCTCTCTGTGCGCTTTCTAGTTTTTTTTGCTGCTCTAACCATTCCATATAGATATGCCATACTGCTGCCGGGCTGCTAGCAGATTGTTTAAAATGCCACGTGTCCATTGTTAACATTACCCCTGTCTGATCGGCTTCACCAAAAGTTGCCCTCCTTACCACTTTAGAATTTTTCTAAGGAGCACTTTTTCTGCACTTTTCTACTTCTCTTAAAGTGTATGAAAGCTATTTAACACCCTTTTTGGTTAATTTTTATTCAGAAGTGCCCCTCTTTAAACATATACAAAATTGTCCATGCTTTTCCGGATAACTGAGGGCGCTGTTGCTCTGTAGTCATTTCAGGAAGAAACTGTTCAGTTATTGATGTGAATCCAAAATTCTGCTCCTTGAAACCATTTGTGAGAAAGGTTTGCTCATTGGCTTACTGCTATGTACTGACACAACTAATCGCCAAAGGAAAGGAAATTTACAACGGCAAAATATCGGAACTCTTGTATTTTTTTTGCTGAAATAGCTGTTACAAAGTGGTGTCTGCCTGAAATGACATCACACTTTTTCTCATGAATATGGAAATTGGCAAAAGCATAAAAACCAGAAAAGGCACCAAAATACCCTTGAAAATAAAGTTAAATGGGGCACGAAGGTGCAAGAACTGCATGAAAAAATACTACATAGACTGAGATTTTTTCCCCCACTTGGCACATGATTCCTTTCATCATATCCCTTGCAACTTCTCACATTCTACAAGGACTTCTTAGGTAAGCTTTACCATGTTTATATAAAACAAAAAATCGTCAATGTGTTCCACAGGAACGACATGCAACATCGATGTGGACGACTGCGCATCCACGCCGTGCAAAAATGGCGGGACTTGCCACGATCACGTGGCATTCTTCACCTGCGCATGTCCCCCTGGTTTTGTGTACGCGGATGTGTTCTGTGAGTACGACGACTGCGCTGGTCAGCCGTGTCAGAACGGAGCCACGTGTAATGATCTGATTGAACAGTTCCAGTGTGTGTGTCCTGTGGGTTATTTTGGAGATCTGTGCGAGGTAAGAACGGAATCATGTTCCTTTGTTATTGCGCATGTCGTCTTTTTTCTTCATTTACGACAGGCAAATTCACGTATTCAGAGGTTTCGGCAACACTTATATAAATGAAGCAACTGTTGCTGTTTGTTGACTTTACCAAATTCTTGTTGGTCGGCCAACAAGCAATTTGCTGTAGGCTATGTTCTTGGTGATATCAGATCAGATCAGATCAGATCAGATCAGATCAGATGTTCATACATGCACTCCATTACACAACAGTTGACTGAATGTCGCATTGTCAAAGGTTCTGTGCATAACATGACATAGGCCTACAGCTGTCAGTCGCCTATTCTTCACTATTAATAATAATGAGGTTTGCTTCTTGCTAATGAGTAATTTCTTTTGTTTACAGGTCGACATCGATTTCTGCATCAACCAAACCTGCGCCAATAACGGCACGTGCGTTGACCGAGTGGACGGGTTTCACTGTCTGTGCGAGACGGGCTACGAGGGCTTCTTGTGTGACGTGGAAACAGACGAATGTAGTTCCAATCCGTGCCTTCACAATGGGACGTGTCATGATCTCATTGGGAAATATCAGTAAGTTCGATCGAATCCCAAGCAAATTTACGCGTGAATTAGGCCTATTATATGCAGTGTAATGAATCCAGCATTATTGATTTCGTTCAATACTAGGCCTATTTGATCAATAAATAGAACAATAACATTATGGAATTTATTGTGGCCATGGTCATTGATCGATAGGGGGACACTCCCCCACTTTTTTTTTCTGTGAACATCGGACTGGCTATATTAAGTTTTAATTTTAAATAGTCGTCACATTATTGACTTGACTTGTAATTGTCCCGGTGGAAGAGCACCAGTTGCAGCCGTATAAACGAGTGTGGGATTATCACGCGGTTGGAAGTTCATTCAAAATGTAGACCTACTGGTGGAAACTGAACTTCTACATCAAAAAAGTTCCATGACCACTATACCATTGAACATTTTGAACAGCGTTTGACCTTCGATTTATCGAAGAACTGAATGGTTTCTCCCTAAAGGTGTGCATGTCAAGAAGGATATGAGGGAACACACTGCGATCTGGAGACGGACGAGTGCCTGAGCTCCCCGTGTAGAAATAACGCAACTTGTGAGGACGAGTTCGCTGGATACCACTGTCACTGTGTCGACGGGTACGATGGTGACACGTGCGAGATGGACATAGACGAATGTGCCTCGAACCCATGCTATGCCAATGAGACCTGCGTGGACGAGATCAACGGTTTCTGGTAAGTGTGGCGCCGTGTATGATTGGGCAAGCATTTGTGAACAATTTCAACCAAGTTTGTCCGTTAGAAGTTCATTAATTCTCTAGTCGTTTGGCAGCGGTGGGTCACAACCAAATTTAGGAGGGTCGCGAATTTGTGACTATCTGGTTAGCGTCGTCAGCTCACTTCTCTTGTCTATTTTCCAACTGGACAGAACGGTGGCTTTGAACTCTTAAAATTTAAGAAGTAATTATGTCTTTTCTCCTTATGTCAGGTGTCTGAGGTTGAATCTGTGTGATTACGATCCGTGTATGAACAACGCCACTTGCGTGGACGATTACCCGGGGTTCATCTGCGAATGCGCGGCAGGTTACGGCGGAAAGACGTGCGACCAAGACATCGACGAGTGCGGCAGCTCGCCGTGTCTACACCAGGGCACCTGCACCGATCACCTGGATGGGTACACCTGCCTCTGCCCGCCGGGCTACGGCGGAGAAAAGTGCCACAGTGAAACCAACGAGTGTAATAGCTCACCCTGTCTGAACGGGATTTGCTGGGATCTCATCAACGGCTACGTTTGCAACTGCACCGCGGGGTATGAAGGCGTGCTGTGTCAGAACGAAATAGATGAGTGTGCTAGCTCGCCGTGTCTACACCAGGGCACCTGCACCGATTACCTGAACGGGTACACCTGCCTCTGTCCGCCGGGATACGGCGGAGAAACGTGCCACAGTGAAACCAACGAGTGCAGCAGCTCACCCTGCCTGAACGGGACTTGCTGGGATCTCATCAACGGCTACGTTTGCAACTGCACGGCGGGGTATGAAGGCGTGCTGTGTCAGAGCGAAATAGATGAGTGTGCTAGCTCGCCTTGTGAGCATGGAACGTGTGTGGATGAGTTGAATGGCTACAGGTGAGCAGTCATGCACTCTAACAACTGTGTTTAGCAATTAAACACAATCTTAATGCACTCAAACAAAAAAAGAAAGTCCCCCTTCCAATATTGTTTTTGTCTTACTGAGCACCTCTCACTCAAATAACGACTAATTAGTACAGAAATTCCTTAGCAATCCAGCCATACTCCTTATTTGACCAAAAACAGTTAACGAATTTATGCAATTTATGACCAATGATACCGAGAACAGTTGCACTTTTGTGCAAGTTGTGGTTCACACTCACCTTGCACGTATACAAATGGGCAAATTTTTTTCGGTACCATTTGTCATAAACTGAATAATTTTGTACACATTATCACGATTTTGGGCCAAACAAAGAGTAGGGCTGGATTGCTAAGGAATTTCTGTACTGATCAGTCGTAATTTGAGCAAGACATGCCCAGTAGTTTTTGAGTTACACAAAAAAAATATAAAGGGGGGGACTTTCTTTTTTGTTGTTGAGTGTATCAGTTGTGTTCAATTCCTAAACATCAGTATTCAATTGCTTAATAAACATGTTTACAAACTACCAATACATGTAGCAGGACATAGGCCTTAACACCCTTTGCATGACATTCATCTTAGGGATGCATGAGCTTTAGTCCCACAGGCATGCACACACTTTAAAAAAGCATTAGTCAGATTTGACAAGAAAGCAAATTTGATTAGCCATTCATGGTCAGCTGGGTGCAACTGAAAATCAGTCAATCTGACTTGATTTTTCCATTGACTTTGGAAAAATAGCTGTGCAAGCAATTGAAATCTGTGTCGATTCTAACTCCTTTTTCTAGTCATAGTATGAAACTTTGCATGTTCGACTAGTCAATTTTCAATAACGAGGAAAGCCAGTCGATATTTTTTACTAAGCTCATGCACAGACCATTTTGTGCATTCAAACTTGACACTGAATTCAAAATAAGCAAAATATATTTCCAAGATGGCTACTGCATACAGTGGATCAGTCTTCACTGGCATTTACCTCAGCATTATAATTGGTTTCTACAGATGTGAATGTGATGTGTTTTACGAGGGCACTCAGTGTGACACGGTGATAGATAAGCCATGCGCCCTCAAAGACCCACCGTGTCAGAATGGTACATGTGAAAACACCAACAGCGCTAACGATTACAATTATAAATGCACCTGTGATGACGGCTTCTATGGAACAAATTGCGACATAGGTAAGAAAAGATCAAAATGGAATTAGTACTTAAATGAACAAAACATTCTCAATTCAACATTGTCTATGCAAAGCCTTTATAATTATGAAAGTAGGGCCTACATTGTACCACATTTTAATGGAGCTTGATATTTTCTATTGGGAAAAAAATCCAGAATATAAAACCAAACAGGTTTTCGAAATAAAAAGTCCCATGATGTGTTTTGTTATCTACTTTAGATACCTGACATTGTTTTTGGTGAAGTGGTGTCCCCAATCTCACAGACTCGAATCAAGTCCGATCTGACAATATTTTCTGTCGTTCATTAGTTGTGATACCAAAATGTAGTTGGTTGGATAAAACTCAGCGCAGAAGCGGAATCGAACGAACGCGAAATTCGGAATCGGGCCGAGTATAGTTGTGCTCCGAATTCGCACACGTTGAGCACATTTGAAGGCCGGCATTTTTTTCACAAGTACTTTAATTGTTGCATTTTCAAAATCAAAATCAGAGCTTCGTATAGTGCCTTAAATTTAATTTATCATCTATTTGGGGGCAATCGTTTCACGAAATTTAAAAAATAAAACATTCCCGTATTTCTTTTGTTTTTGTCACGTGTCTAAGATTCAAAACTGTACGGTGCCGTCGTCTTCGTGACAGGAAAGCTGGAAGATAAGTCTGCATTTGAGACCAAATTGGCCAATCTGCTGCAGAAACTCTACGCACCTCAATCGCGCGTGCGCAGAGACACCGGAGAAACTGTGTCAGTGAAAATAATTCTGACAGAGGACTATGTCAAATCTACCGATAGGTATGTATAATATTTCACAGTTTTCTTTCAAGTTTTACTTGACACAGAAATTGAAATGAAATTATCAGTTAATGGTGCAAACATAATTCTGCTCAATTGTTGGATACTGTAGTGAATAATCTCGTAATTAGTGTACCGAAAGATTATCAACGCATTTTCGGTGTGAGAAAAGCCCTGTTGACAATTTAGTTCAAAACAATCTTCAAGCTATCTATCTAAAAACAAAAACAAAAAATGTTTCCAAATGTTTATATGCCTTTTAATTTTATTGGCATAACATGCATTAAGGGCGGCACTCCATACAATCGCGCAAAGGCAATCCTACTACATAAAGCGATTAGGGAATCCGTCGGTTACTATTGACCATGAAGTGATCTATAAAATCCATGCATCGGGCTCTTATCTCAAAATATTAACCTTCTATTCACCCCAGCTCTCCTCTGACTAAAGTGACCTTTCTAGCTTGGACTGAGTCGGGTTACTTACAGAAGGACACCATTGAGGCTTTGATTGATGGGGCGTCAACGGATCTTCCTGCCCAGTACGGCCTCGACATCTACAAGGGATCTGCGGAGCCAAACACCGGGAACCCGTCAGAGGTAGAATAACTCCCCTTATTTGGAAAACACTTTGAATTGTGGAAATTTTTCAAGATCAATCATGGCACAATGCGAAGTCAGGAGAGTTCTACTTGGAGACCTTATAACTGGCAGCTCTTCTACAGCACATCTCCAAAAAGTGTCCGCCTTAATATTTTTGAAAGAACAACAAAACTACGAAGTAAACTTTGAAAATTGTTGATTGTGCAGATACTCCTAATCCTTGGCCTCAAACCCTAGGAGTTTTAATCAATTTCCCTCAAGCCTCACTAAACAATGGTTAATAAAAATTGATTACAACAACATTTTTGGACATGTGACCAAATTCAATCATCAGGGCTATTGAAATTTTTAGCCTGGCCATCAGTCATCTAGTCAGCAGACCTCAGTTTAATGCTCCAGGGCAAATGATGACTGATATTACACAGCTTACATAACAAAGCACTGAAATTGATTAAAAGGCAAGGAACTTAGTCAGAGTGTCCAGAAATGTTGCTGTGATCAATTGACCATTGTGCAGTGAGGCGTGAGGGAAAATTTAGGGGTTGAGGCAAAGGATTAGCCTATAGGTGTATCTGCACAAGTAGACTTTTACTTCGTGGTTTTGTTGGTATTTCAAAAGTATTTAGACGGACACTATTTTTGAGACATACTGTATATAGAACCTCTCGCTGACAGAGGCTTAGTTTCCTTTTTGCGCTACTCCTTCTGTCAGGAGGACTTTCCCTTCTCACTCCTTCCTCGCATCTTGACCTCCCTCTTCGATTTCCTGCCTCCTTTCATCCTTCTGTCATTTCTGTTCCACGAGTTGAGGTAGTTACTTAACGTCTTCCCGCTCACTGATTCCATGTGGAACTCATTGCCCACCCTCTTTCCCCTTCCAACTTTTACATCTCAATTTGAAGGAAAGTCAACTGGTAATTCATTTCATTTTGTCTTTAAATTCATTTTTTCTGTTTTCTTTTGTAGCTCCCACCTATAGTGGCCTGAGCAATCTTGTTAAATAATGACTTCGTGTTTTAAAAATGTTAAACTGATCGAGAGCTGATGGACAAATGCCAATAGAAGGAAGATGTCACTAACACTAATGGTTGAAGATGGTAGTGAAAATGGTGATACATAGCAGTGACGATGGTGATAATGTTGAATTGATAATGGTGAAAATAAGATGATGGTGGTCAGATAAGTAAATTATGGTACAATTCAACTATGGTGATGGAATATTACAGACGGTAAAGCCAGGTATATGCTGTTTCTTTACAGAACTGGATCGGTTCCAACTGGTACATCATTCTAGTCGTTGTCGTTGTTGTGGCTTTGGTTGTTGCGGTCGGGTTCATCTCCTACCAAAAAGGATAGTAAGTAATAATGCTCGAAATTAAAGTCGAATCAGGAAGTCATAGGTCCAGGGAAAAAAGGAGAAAAAATTTGTCTGCAATTGCATTTGCAAAGGATGTCGATGGGTGCTGGTAGGCCTATATCAAAGCAGTTTTCAGATATATCATCAATGTAACGATCAGTTTTATATTAATTTTTTGCAGGCCATCAAATTGTAAATCTTACGATTTCATTAACATATGCCTACTTATGAAATTATTAGGTTCAAACTCCAAAAGGAAAACAGCAATGACCAGTTTACCAATAAATTGAGAAATAGTAGGGTACTCCGTTAAAAAGCTCTTATTTTCTCAAGATATGATGTTGAACTAAAGTAATATTTTCTACTTTTTTCACTTTCACGACTTCCCAAAATGAGAACAAACCGTTACCAATTAAACTTCAAAGCAAGCATCTGCTGCGCGTAGTTTTCGCTAGAATTCTATTTAGAATTCTAAGCTTCCAAGGCATGTTCCAGTAACAGCGCTTTTATACCTCATAAAAAGTGCACCCTTAGAAATGAGATTGTACTAAAAATCAGTCTTAACTACACCCGGCTGACGATATGTTTTCTGTTGATAGTTGCACCTGTGAGGGTAGAGATGGCTATTGTGATTAAATTAGCTTCCTTGCGCCTAACAGGCATAGTTCCCAGGGAGCTGACTGGAGATGGTATTTGGAATGTTTAATTGGTCCAATGATCAGGGGTAATAATAATGTATAAAGCGCATTGATCTGGGTTAAAAGCGCTATATAAAAGCACGTTTTTGTGATTATTCACCTGGCCGCAAGTGTGACATGTTGAGTTTATCTGACCAAAAGTTATATCGGAGTATAGGTCTACCTGAGATGTATGTTTTTGCTCTTACAGCATCAATCGAGCCAAGGATGCTGCGATCAAGTACCAAGGCCGCGACCGGGGCCAATCGGCCCTGCCGCTGGATCTGGAGACACCTTACAATACCCGCATCGGGGAGGGGGACATCGCCTACAGTACCCGCATCAGGGATGACGCCCCTACTCTGCCCAAAAGACCCGCCCGTCCCAACATGGTGGAGTCCTTCAACCCCGCGTACATATCGAGCTGTGAGCAGCCTGACCTCTGTGGGTCTGCCGCCGCCTGTGCCGACGACTCAGGCTTCTTCGTTGCCTTAGATGGGGGCAAGGAGAAGGCAGACAACCACTACGCCGATATTCCCGCGCTCAAGGCCGAAGCTATTGCTCAGGAGAACCCGTACAGTGCAATAGGACATTAGTCAGTGGCGTAAATCCATTCCGGCGAGTGGGGCGGATGGGGGATGACCATACGGCCAAATCCTAAAATTGCCCGGCCGTGGGAATTCTAAACAGGGGGGGGGGGGGGGGGGGGGGGGGGGGGGGGGGGTTGACACCATGCAACACTAGGGGTGCTGTTCACGAAACAAAATTATGTATATGTAATGGAAACTTGCGTTTTATACGTCCCTTAAACCCCGGTGTAGCATGAATCTAGGTTTTATGAAATACGGACTCATTGGTGGTATTGCGCATGCTCATGCATAGATAATTAGGAGAGGGACCGGTCACGTGAAAGGGGTTAACCAATAAAAGGGAAAAAGAGTCCGATTTTCATTCAAGTCCGATTTTTATATGACACCGGTCAACCTCAATCCTCCAAAATCCCCCTGGCGGTTTTGGAAGATTGTGGAGGATTGAGGATGAATGGTGTTGAAGCACATGAGGATTGTGGAGGATTGAGGATGAATGGTGTTGAAGCACATGAGGATTGTGGAGGATTGATGAGGAATGGTGTTTGAAGAAGATGAGTATTGAGGATGAGTGCATTTTCAGAGGCAGGACTGTCTGACAATTTTGAAGGGTTGAGTCGCTGGGTATCCTTCATTTGAGCATGAGTGTAAACTTTTGGAGGATTGAGGATTGAGGATTTTTCCTAGCAAAAAGGGCCTAGGAGTTATTAACCTTCAAAACAGGGCATTGAAAGCTTGTTCTCCGTGTTTTTGTTGCAAAACTATTTTATTGATTTGGACCTTTGGGAAGATTTTTCGGTTTGTCACCTTCATAAACGGGGGGGGGGGGGGGAGGGGGGAGGGGGGGGGAGGAGGGGGAGGGGGAATGATTCAACACCCCAGCCCCGGTCATTGCAGAAAGGGGGAATGATTCAACACCCCAGCCCCGGTCATTGCAGAAAGGGGGGATGATTCAACACCCCAGCCCGGTCATTACAGAAAGTGTGGGGGATGAATCCTCCCATCCCCGGGATTTATGCAGTTTCAGTGCCAAATAAAAAAAAAATTAGTACCAACTGTGATGTTGGACATGGTGTTTTTCACATCACTGAACGCGCCGTGTGTCTCGAAGTGTTAAAAAAATCTTCGTCCATTATCACAGTAATATTTAGTGGTTTTGTTGCATTGTGCCATAAACCAAATAGGTATTAAAAGTTGTCGGTTACTTGTTATCTTTGATTACTGCACTGCACCTTTTGGACGCAAATACCGTGCCAGACGGTATTTGATTGATGTTGAATTATGCATATATTTAAATACTATGTAATGTACAAACTTGACATGTGACCTTTCTAGATTAATACAAACACAGTATCCAAGTCCTGATTTAACAAAGTAAAAGCGGACCTGGGATCAGCTATTTAAGGGGCACCTTCCAAACTATGGCGAGGTATTTGTATTTCATACCTGCTTTGTACATTGCTTTCACTATGTCCGTATTGCACAAACTTAATTGCAGCTGCTGTATAATTTTAATGTACTAGGGTGTAGGGTGAGTAAAAAAAAACGAAACCCAAATGTCGGGACTATTGTTTGAGTGAAGTTCTGCATGTAGCACAAATCTAGGATATGAAAACCCAGTTCATAAAAGCTTTCTTCTAGTACAAGAATCATTCAAACCACTCATGTACTTTTCAAGTTACGGAATTTTAAACACAACCGCCGTTTAAAGTTCTGTCCACGAATCACAAGAAGGTAAGTGTTCTTTCAGCGAAACGAAACCAAATCGCATAGAGATGTGCGTGAAATGTTTTCGTTTTGCTGAAAGAACACACACCTTTTTTGTGATCCGTGGACAGAACTTTAAAACGGTGGTTGTGTTTAACATTCCGTAACTTAAAAAGTACACGAGTGATTTGAATGATTCTTGTACTAAACAAAAGCTTATGAATTGGCCTTTTATATCCTAAACTTTGAAAGTGCTACATGCAGACCTTCACTAAAACAATATTCCCGACATTTGGGCTTCGCTTTTTTTTTTACTCACCCTGTATAGTTTAGCAATGTAAGTGATTGACACATGATCAACCGATGAACATACATACACAGAAAAACCGCTTTATAGAGCAGTGATGATATTTTAATACAGAGTAATCATTGGTTCATGCACACACAGAAATGTATGTCCCTTTAGGCGTACAAATTAAGAAGTAAACACAAAATAGATATAGTTTAGCTTGCAGAATAATTTGCATTATATATTCCAAATTGTGTAAACTTTCATTCATTATACTCGAGGCATAGACGGATTAGATCACGTGATCACGATACACACACGAGCCCCCCTTCAATGGCGAAAGCATTGTGTGAGCTATTATACAAAGCTATACCGCCCCATGACGGATTATCTGGGCAATAGCTAGCGCAATGCTGTCGCCATATTAAGGGGCCTTCGTGATATAATTGATAGCACAGATTGGCCTATAATAAGTGTGTATATATAGAGATTTATATTGTTGAATTTTATTTTGGGTTGTTTGTTTGTTTGTTATTTGTTTCCATGCGAGTTGTATCAAAACCCTTCTTCGTAAATTTCGTTGAAAATAGGATATAGTCGACCTCATTATATTTAGGTGTCTTTTTTTCACACGAAAAACTGCTTTATCTCAGCGTTGAACTGTATCCCTTTACAAGGTTTTCAATCATCCTGGGTTTTTGGTCAAAAAACGTGTATTGGTTAAATTAAGCCATTAAAGAAGTATTTCATAATTATTTGAAAAGTAACTTCGCCTTACAATTTCGCTTTTAAAAAAATCGGAATGTAGTCACACTGAACACCATACGAAACCTATCAGATACTAATCGGAAAAGGCAGGATACCTCAGTATAGAATTTCGTTTTTGTAGTTTGTACCCAAATTTAAACTTTTTTGTACTCGCAAGTTGTTTTTGATTAAGTGTTTTTGATAATGAAATAAACCAAAAAGAGATTTTACAGATATATGAAAACTACAATTAGTCAATATTATTATATGCAGTATTTATCAGCCATGCATATATGTTCAACACAACTGCTAAATTCATCTTTAATCAATACATAAATTTGTTGGAAGTGTTCGCGAATTTACAGGAGAATTTACTGCGCCTTGATGTATCACAAAACATAATACACGCGAATTCTGGTGTATTTTGACGCACAAAATTCCAGGCCCCGTGGAAGAGAATGAATGGAAGTCTTGATAAGTAAGACTGGAGACATCAGCTATTCAAACCAGATGTCTATTTTATTCCCCATTTTACCATCACTATCATTTAACTAAAATCCCATCACTCTACGGCAAGAGGCTTTGTGGCGAAAAACCAACGATTTTCAGAAAAAAATTGTTTCTCAACCCAAACATGATGTTTCGCAAAGTCAACATCCTTCGTCTCTGGAGGAACATGATTATTATCAGAGTAATTGCAGACATTTTAAGGAAAAACGTGAGACAAGCCTGATGAAGTCTTTGACAGTGTATCGCTGTGTTTAGGAATAAAACCAACATTTATGCGGAAATCAAGAATACAAAATGTTCGGGAACTGTTAAAATTCTAAAGCTTTAATATGAGCTAGAAAGCGCTACAGACAAGTTGCCTATACGTACCATAAATCTAATAGCTATTTATTAAACAGTATTTATCGTACTTCGCACTGTGTTATTCCCTTATATAAGTCATCGAAACGTCCAATATACAGGGTGAGTATTTAGAAGAAACAAAATGACAGAATTAGAAAAGAACATTTCAAAAAATATGTGGCTCGCTCCATTTCATAAAATAAACATAGGGGTACAGTACAAGACATAGTTTAGTAACTCTGAAACTTTCACGTAATTTGCATATAGTCCTACGTTATGTCTCTTTTAATCAAAATGATCACACAATCAGTTGTCCACCACTCATCATTTAGCGTCCTGCGAATTGATGAATACCATTATAAGTACAATGAAACATGGACGTTTCCCACCTTCGTGAGTGAATGAAAAGTTGCAAAGGAAACAGACAAAATTTGCCATTAATATTTCAGGGGGGAAGAGCTCACTTGTTCTTCATAATTAAAACACAAAATTTGACAGCAAAAAGAATATTTCAGTCTTGACTCAATGATTAAAATCTGAAATGTATTTGAATGCCTGTTTGAGATCTGTAATTCTTACTCAGCTCAAAACCTTCTACTGTTATATCATAGACGGCCACAAAAATATGATCTTTCAGTAAAACATGGGTAATTTCTGCTAGCATGGATCAATTTCAGTTATTTTTGGTTTTTTTTTTTAGATGAGTGGAAGAACATTCTCTTTTCAGACATTCTTCATTGGTGCATCAAATTAAATCCAAGTCACTTGCTTTTTGACTAGCCCTGTACAGGCCCGGATTAAGTGCTTCGTAGGCCCTAGGTACCAGTGTTCCGAAGAATGGAGAAGGCAGGGGGTAGGCATGGGCGTCGCCAGGATTTTTTTCCGGGGGGGGGAAGCATTTTTCCCCCAATATTCCTTAATTTTTTCATTATATTCTCAATTTTATCATTTGTATTTAGCCTGAGCAGGGGAGCATTTGTCCTACCCCCCCCATCAAATAAACAGCAATATGGCTTCGCACCTCTTTTTCCTTTCTTTTTCTTTCCCCCCTTTTTACCGCTTGGGAAGAGGGAATAAGAACAAAGTGGAGAATGTAAACAATAAACACCGCTGCTCAAAACTCCGCGAAGCTAAAATCCGGTTCTGAAACCCATGTCAAAAGATTGTACATTCTGTCATGTCGGCACAGGAAGTCGCTTCATATACGGTGGTTTACAGCTACGGCTGTGCCTATAAAAAATAAAAAAATAAGAAAAATTCCACAATAGGATTTAAAGACCCCCCCCCCTCCCCCCGCAGTCTGGGATCAGGGAACAGGCCCGAACAAGGTATGCGCAAAGGTACTGAGCATGTACATGCAGTTTTGCGACAATGAAATAAAAACATTATAGCTGGATTAAATTTTTTATTTTATTTTCGGGCAATGTTACAGTTCAAGCTCTCAATATAACAAATTAATCATTCTTGCAATTGTCCTCTAATAGAAAAGAAAGAAAATAAAACAAAAAGTTATGTGGCGATGGCCAAGTCTTCAGGAGTCGGACTTATGACCCTAACTCAATGAGCCCCTTACCGACTTCCATATAGAACTCTTCTGGGACTCGGTACCCGGCCCACCACACCTCCTTCCCTGTCCATCCATGTAACTCGAAAGTCAGACACCATAAAGGGAGGAAACGAGGTGGCACCCTAAGCCTTGCTGCCGAGTCAGCAAAAGAACCCTGTACCTATACGCAGATGCCAACCTGGACTTCGCAGACAGTCCCAACTTGTGAGTCAGCTTACCGACCGACCGAGCTAACTGCTGTTGGTAAATGACGACGGGAAATTAATACTCTTAAGTGACAGAACCGCGGGCATCGAAAACCAAAATAATGGCACCAGGCGGGTTCGAACCCCTAACCCTGGGTCCGCTGTCAGACAGCTTAAGGCGAGGCGTCATAAATAAATTAACCGTTCGCACGCGTGCGCACGCTAGGAACGGGGCCTTTTGTTACATCTACCTCCCGTTCGCACGCGTGCTCACGGCATCCCGTTCCGAACGCGTTCTTATACAACAAAAGGCCAGTCACGGTCTGTGCACACACGAAGAGCTCATCGGCACTAAAAGTATCCGACAAACTTTCTCGTCGCTACAGGCTAGCCCGTACAGTACAGGGGGGACGTATAAAAATACCGGCACCTTGAACGGGGAAAGCAGTCCTTTGCAAACTTTACTATCAGTATGTATAAACCTTGAATATTGGATTTATAATTCGCTGATCGTGTGTACAAGGCCAGTTTATAACATCAGTCAGCAAACTTCTTACAATGTTTTAAACTTGTTTTTGTGAACATTATATGCAGTACCGTACCTGCTAATTTACATTTCCGTGCTTGTACCCAAAAAAAAAAGAATACTAGCACTTCGTTTTACATAAAACATGGAGGAAGGAATAGAGTGTTAAACGTCTCAATTATTTTTTGGGTTGGATACGATCTAGTGTAGTATGTCTGGTTTTCTCAATTTTTATTTTAAAACGACTTTATCTTCTTCGTCTGTTTTCATTTCTGAACTGCAAACGCGTTTTTCAGTAGATTCCGTGTTAAAATTTAACGAATTACGCCCAGGTTTCTGGCTTTTAAATTGCCCAGGAATATCTTAAAAGGTCAGGCATGGTTGTCTCTTGTTGAAGTCTCAGTAATTCCTGCCACCAACTGATCATCGTCGTGCAAGGTGCGAGGTTCATGCGCTGCACCGTCCTCCCGCGTGCGAACGGGCCCCTGCTGTACGTCGTGTAACCCGTCTCATGCCTCTTGCATTTACATGCTATGTAGTATGCAATGCTAGCCCGGGGGCTGACTGTTTATAAAACGTGGGAATTGCGTGCTCAGGGGGAAGTCCCAAGTCGTGCAAAACGGCTGTTTCATGTATCATTTTCTTAAAATGTTTCGCTGCGTGGCCTTTGTACGTAAAAAAAAATTAAAATAATATCAAACAAAACTGAAATCTAATACTAATAAGTAACAGACCCTCACAATTATTTAACTGCACTGTGTATAGGCCTACATATACATGTACATGATTGTGTTCGCCGGCGTGCTGACAGGCCGCCATGCATATACACGGGCATGTACATTGTACTCGCAATCGCGCATGGCCATGCAGTAGTGTAGCATGGTCAGTACAAAATGGCATGGTTCCCACCGGCCGTACCGCCGTATAATGATAATGACAGAAGGTGCATTCATGGTACGTCGGAACTTCGGCAGCATCAACATGTCACCAACAGCACATATGGAAAAGTTTCATGGCTAAAGTCTCAAAAAATCAGTTGTGTGTCTATGTGACCTTCGGGACACGCCACGCGTGTACTGAATGGGTCAATGCTCAATCATGCATTATGCATAACTCCTCTGTGTAGCAAGTATGCGTGTGGCCAGTACCGAAGAGTCCATTGTGACAAATGGGTAAACCGCAACGCGTAACTCCAATAAACAACAGGTGTTTACACAGGCCTACACATTGGAAACATCATCTTTCTCTATGGCAAAATACAGGACATAGTGAAAAACACAACAATGAAAATAAAGCAACCTGAAAGAAGATCTCACATGAATTTTAGCCATACGAAAATCCCAAATAAGTTACGGACACTGCTGGGCTTGCAATCATGCACTTGAATTGACCACGCTGCGCGCGTGCCGAATGGTATTGGAATGCCGGGCGACCCCGATTTATATGTTTTTTCGTTTGGCGACTAAAACCATTTTTTCACCGGTGGACCGGATTCGGAGCGACTGCGGCTAACCCGTTTTGTGCGTAACACGAAAACACGTCCATATCGGTGTAGCAAAAGAGACTACTTTTCCATATGTGAAAACAATCAGAACTTTTTTTCCAGAAAGACATTTTCCGAAGTCGCGAATATATATTGAGAATTAAATGTTTGTGTTTGTAGCGGACCAACCTCGACAGAGCACGCAGGGGGCTTGGGTGGACCATGGGTGGACTATGAGTGGAAAGTACTGTGCATTTTACGCACGCCGACCACATTGTTATTCGAATCACGCTGGTGTTTCACTTTGCACGTGATTGTGCTGGCTTTCAAAGTTTCCAACATTTCCAGTGAGTATCATGGTATAATGCGTCTCAAATAAATGTCTGAAATGAAAGCATGTATATGTAATTCTTATAGCGGGCAATTTTGGTGGCTATGCGGCACATTTATATACACATGTATAAATGCACTTCGACCGAGGCATGACCAGCAGCATATTCAAACACAACTTTCCTACCGACCGACGCTATTTTGAAGCTGGACTCTAATTTGAAACAAACTATTTTACGGCTTCGTTGTCTTTGGGGGTACAGTACCTTCAAAAATTATACTTCATGAAAAACGCCTGGAGGGAGGGGCTTCCTAAACATGCAGTACGTCATGCATGCGGCAGGCTGCCTAAATTAATCTTTTTGGTTTATAGGTCCTCTTTAAATTACTAGGTCGGTGCATGGCATCAAGTCTGGGGTAGGAGGTTACTATTCGGTTTCAGAAAGTTTCCTACTTATCCAACAGCCTGAAACAAGGAATACAGTTCTGACATGCTTTATTTATATTTTTGTCACATACAGAACGGCTCATGTGTTACAAAACAAACTGATTTCTTTAAAAACATATAAAGTAGGGATATTCTGTAAAGATACTTCTAAAACAAGCTATACAATAACGTAAATGATTTGTAAATTTGTAAATGAACCATCCATTCATACATGTGCATGTACGTCGGAAAGAAATATTTTTATTTACAAATTGGTCGCTTAAATGTGTTTCTTTTTTGTTTATTTTCCAGGTGTATACGAAGGTGGACAAGTGGCGACAAAGATTGGTCTCAAAAATTACTCCCATTACCATTTGTATGCAATAGGCCCTATGTATATAATATATAGTTTACCAAAACGTTATTTGAATCCAAGGACAACTTGATGTATACGCACACTGACATTTTTTGCACATAAAATCACTTCCGTTATACATGTATATAATAATATAACAATTAGAGCACTTTTATAGATTTCGACGGAACAAATCTTCACTAATTTGGTGGTATCGATTAAATTAATCAATTTTGACGGAAAAAATGAAATTGGAAAAAGTGAATATTTTGCCAAATTCGTCCCTTTGTGAAAACTGTAACGATTTCATGAACAAAATACGGGTCTTAAGAACTGTGATGTCTGGGATGGTTCCTTATGCGATGATCGTCCTTGTCCTTCTTGCTCGTGAAGACGTACTTGCAAGAAGAAACTTGGCACCTTCCCAATCCCTTCTGACGAAAGAGGGGTAGGTTCTCACATGGAGGAATACTGCGGGAGTGGAGAGCTTCCGTGAACGTCATGAAATGTCCCGGGTTGTTTGTAGACGGCTTGGGTGAGGGAAAACTTCGCACGCATGCAAGCATTTCCTTGGCAACTGGGGGGTGTGACTTGCAATGTCTGCAAGTAGACTCGTTGCACTTGGTGAAAGTGCACATTCCAATGCGCCTATCTATATGTTGCATCGCAAACAAATAATCTTGATGGCTCTTCTCGTCTTCTTTAAGTCTCTTCGCTGACCCTGAAACAGCCACGTGGGTTTGCCTGTATTCTTCGTAGCTGTAGGGTTGCTCCAGCGATCCACTCGCCAGCATGACCGTTTTGATGGGTTTTCCCGCAAATGTCACTCCTGACCAGTACGTGTCCTTGATCGCGGTCATGGCATTGTTGAAGATTCGATGTTTCTTCTCCTCTGGTGTTAGGTCTTCCTGTGCCAGTGGTAGGTCTCCATCAGAATTGGCAGACAGACTGACTGATGTCAACGCTCTCGTGCAGGGAGCCCAGACTCGCTCAATGGGATTGAGCGCCGAATCCCCTGGACAGTAGGAAGTCACCACCAGAGCATCCAGGTTACTGTCTCTAAACAGGCGGGCATAATAGATCTCGTTGACGGTGTGGTTGACATTGAAATCGGCTCCACCATCAACGAGAAGTACCATCAACGACCGTCCACTCGATACGTCCTCCGCCAGTCCAAGTTCCCCAACGATGTCGTTCATGTGCGAGGCCACTGAGCATGGAGAGTTGGGACTTCTGAGGATAACTGTTGCTTGGTTCTTTTCTGGCAGCCTAAAATAATTTTGAGAAAGCAGAAAGAAATCAACATATTAAAGTAATGTAGCAGATTATTAGTACTTATTGTCTGTGCTGCAACACTGCAGTGCTAGTGCCAGTGATATGCAGCGGGAATGAATTATTGTAATGGTAACACTGGTCCCCTGCCAACCAATACCTGTAGACAACGCAGGACTTAGCCGTGACAAAGGATACACAAAACACAAACACAGGAGTAGTGAGGAAATGCACTGTTCATAAATTAATACGTGAATTTTCCCAAATTAAGATGGTATGTCATTAAATTGTATTTGGGCCCACTATCGTTTTGGCGATTTGCGAAAGAACTCATCCAATAACTGTATTAAGCTATATCATCCATTATTAATAAATATTAACTTACATGAAGTGGTCTCTGCCAAGGTCGTCTTTCGTCGTTAGGGTGGAGGGCTGCATACGCAGGTATCCGGATGGCACGATGAGGTGACCTGGTGTCGGGAAGTCGTGGTCGCTGTAATTTGGTGCATCTTGAGTGGGGAAGAATTTTGATATCTTGAGCCGACGGTCGACAGCCAGTGTCTGCTCCCCGACCTTGATTTTGTTCTTGTTGTCTGCTGAGTAGACAATAGCCTGGGAGCTGAACATGGATGCCATCTCGAGAGCGTAGCGCACCCTTGCCGAATAGAAGTGGCTGTTGTCGGAGATCTTTCGGACGGAGTTTTCCTTCGCTGGAACACGAGCATCGATCAGACCTTGGTAGTATGAGGCTGCGTTGATGCCCTTGTTGGGGGGCATCATCCAGCGGGCTATTGTCCGCAGACCTGAGAACAAGGATTTAAAGACCAATACATTTTTGATTTTTAGAAAACAAATTTAATTTGTTTTCTGCTACAAATGAGTGAACCTTGCTCTTGTAAATCCTTTATAAACAATTATAGTCCTGTTTATTTTGTAACTAGTCAGTTTTCTACTCGAACTGGAGTGAACTGTTTTTCCACGTTAAGGGGTAAATAAATAAAAACTTGGATGGACCCCTTGAATCGTTTTAAATGTGCCTCTAAAAATAATTTATGGCTTCACTCACCTAAATTTGGTCTTTCAGTTTGTAGATTTGGTACAGAGTGAAGCAGGTGCTGCTTCACCTGCTTCAATGTAGACCCGCACGTCCCTGTTTCTTCCTGCCGTCTTCTATGTGCCTTGAAACCGTTGCTCTCAATGAAGGATCGTGCTTCATCCACAATGTTGGGATAAAGTTCCTTCATTGCTGGGCGACCTCTGGGCCTTTTCACCTGCGATTTCTGCTTTGGAGCTTTGCGCTTTGGACTTTCTTTAAGCCAGCCGATGTCCACATTTGGACGGTTTGCCATAATTTCCGCACTATCAGAACACTTCGAATGAGACATTTTTGGCCTGTGCATCAGAAGTAAGGACATAGAGCCTAGTACATGTACTACACTTGCCAAAACACTGAACAATATACCCGACCACTAAAAAAAAGACATGAATTGACCTATCAACAGAGCCACGCGTTGGCAATATCTGGGAACAAAGACTGCATCTCGTCTGCTTGGTAACAGGGGGGTCAGGGCCATCAAGAAATAAACTAAGAGTGGAGTACAAAGGACAGTCTGTCGTGGGTTTCTTGCATATTGAAACATTGAATATTCGACCTTAAATTATCATATGTTACCATATACAACGCGAAGAAGTAAAGATCTGCTTCTGTTTCAGTAGTTAAGTGCTATGCCAGGCGCGGATCGAGAGGGTGAAACCCCCCCCAACTGTTCTGACCGTCACAATAATAATTTAAAAAAATAACAATTATAGCAATAGTAAAATAGACGACTTTTTGGCATATTTAATATTCATTCACAATATCTTCATATTCATACTCGAAGTAGTGAACTCATACTTAAAAAAAAGAACTCACTCGGGAACTATTATTTGCAGGCGTACATGAATGTTCACGCAACAAATGTACATGTACATACAAACATGCAAAGGTGTTAATCTTCTTTTCCCTGCCAGGGTACATGTATTCTCCAGGGTAACAAGTGATGCGTGCTAGCAATTAGCCAGATTCAAAAGAAACCCAAACCCCCCCTACTCGCGGAATCATCACACAACCTTCACAATGACATTTAGAGCTATCAATAGTGCGGTAACGCCTTGTGATTTGGTTCGTCTTGGGCTATGAATAGCGCGGTAACGCCTTGTGATTTGGTTCGTCTTGGGCTATGAATAGCGCGGTAACGCCTTGTGATTTGGTTCGCGCTTGTGCCAAAAAAAGAGGTAAACTACGAACCAATCAACATGAGCGTCGTTACCTGTGGTTTACTATGTGGCGGGATTTCAAAGTCTTCTATACAGAAGCAAAGCGTCATTTCCTTGGCGTCCTCTGAAAACCTGTCCCTGTCTTTATTTGAAAGAAAACTTTCTCGAGTCCAGACGCTTTCTACATTCCTGCAAAGATGTCGACCAACAAAATTACTATCAAGTGGGTTAATGAAAAATGGGATGGCCTTGTCGAAGATGTTGTTCGGAGCAGGGTGAAATCCCGCGATCCCCTAGAAATCGGCATGGAGGTGCAAGTGACCTACAGATCTAGCAGTCACAGGGCAGTAATTGTTGGGATCGGCGACAAAAGTAAGTCCAACATCAGTTTTATGCTTTCTATGACTTTCTAAGATTGTCTATCAGCAGCAAATTTGAAGCAACTTTTCAAAACGGAAAACTTCTTAACCATGTCTTTTTGGTGCAGAATTATATTTTTAACGCATTGAAATTAATTCAAGTCAGTCCAACATCAGTTTTATGCGTTTCATGCGTTCTATGGCTTTCTAAGATTGTCTATCAGCAGTAAATTTGAAGCAACTGTTCAAAACGGAAAACTGCTTAACCATGTGTTTTTGGTGCAGAAATATATTTTTAATGCACTGAAATTAATTTACAACTTTTGATAGATTTTTGATGTCAACTTCTTTTCCTTTTTCCAGAAAGGAAGCTTTCCGAAGATTCCGACGAGGACGATGTGCCACTTGCGGTCGTTAAAAGGCTCGCCGCTGGCCCCTCCACACTTCCCGAGGCCCAGCTCACCGGGGAACCAACCGGACCCGCCAGCGATCTCAAGGCCCAGCCCGTACCTATTGATGATCCCACCGGCCCCACCAGCGATGAGGCCCAGCCCATACCCATAGATGATCCCACCGGCCCCACCGGCGATGAGGCCCAGCCCATACCCATAGATGATCCCACCGGCGATGAGGCCCAGCCCATACCCATAGATGATCCCACCGGCCCCACCAGCGATGAGGCCCAGCCCATACCCATCGATGATCCCACCGGCGATGAGGCCCAGCCCATACCCATAGATGATCCCACCGGCCCCACCAGCGATGAGGCCCAGCCCGTCCCCATCGATGATCCCACCGACCCCACCAGCGATGAGGCCCAGCCCGTCCCCATCGATGATCCCACCAGCGATGAGGCCCAGCCCGTACCCATAGATGATCCCACCGGCGATGAGGCCCAACCCATGCCCATCGATGATCCCCCCAGCGTTCCAGAGGCCGAGTCCACCATTTCCCAGCTTCAATACGACCTGATACCCGATTTTGATCTTTCGGTGATCACCGGTGTCGTGCCAAAAACCGTCCGGTGCCAAATAGTGTCCGCTGAGCATGCGCAGTAGGCGCCAGACACTATTTGGCATGTAATACATGCCAAATAGTGTCCGGTGCCAAATAGTGTCCGGACGCCGTCGATCGAGCGAGAACAAGGGCGCACGTCCTGCCGGACGGCATATTAAGCTGGAAAAATCGGACAGTATTTTGCAGGAAAAATCGGACAGTATTTTGCAGGAAAAATCGGACAGTATTTTGCAAGGGGGAATCGGACAATATTTGGCAGGGCGGGGAATCGGACAGTATTTGTTGGCAGGAAAAATCGGACAATATTCAGTGGCGGGGGAATCAGACAATATTTGGCAGGGGGAATCGGACAGTATTTAGCAGAAACAATCGGACATTTTTTCGCAGGGAAATCGGACACTATTTGGCAGGGGGAATCGGACACTGTTTAGCAGGAAAAATCGGACAGTATTTGGCAGGAAAAATTGGACAGTATTTGGCAGGGGGGAATCGGACAATATTTGGCAGGAGGAATCGGACAGTTTGGCAGGAAAAATCGGACAGTATTAGGTGGGAGAAACCGTAAAATATAACGTTGGTTATAATGCTACACACAGCACAGTACGTACTACACACACTTCACACGGCGTTGGGCCTACGGTACGTACTGCACGCCAAACAGGTGAACTGACGCGAAAAAAACACACAAACATTTTGCACAAATATAATGTTTAAACTGTTAGGGAAACCAAGTCAAATAGTTATCACAGATAACAAGGAAAACGTTAAAACAGATTGTAAAAAGCAAATTCAGGTGAAAAGAGATCTTTTCCATACGATGTATTGACAGCTCGACAAGGCACGCAATAGGATGCACGCTAAGCGCGGACACTATTTGGCAAGCGTCCGTAAACAATGTGACGTCATAGACGCATGACCAATCAGATCGCATTATGCTAATTAGCGGACACTATTTGGCACCGGACGGTTTTTGGCACGACACCGGGGCCACCTCAGAAAGCCCCCTCATCCACCTTTTGACTTCGCAACTTGCGGTGGTCATCACAAAGCTGGATGAGCAGTCTACCCAGACAAAAGAGTTGCGGGGAGAGATGAGAGATCTTCAGGCGGAGGTGAAAGAGCTCCGGGCTGAAGTACGAGAGCTGCGGTCAGACGAAAAGAACGCCTCGACTCGGAGTACCAGCGAACGCCGTGAACCGCAATACGTCATCGACGACAAGCAACCGAACACTGTACACATTGGTACTCCAAACAATGCCACTCACATAATGGATAGGAACACATATGATAAAATATTTGATCAAGTAGACAACCCCAAAGACTTCATAGTTAAGTTAATGGCAGAAATATTCACTCCACAGGAACTGGCCAGATCGAACTATCATGGCGGGGAAATCTTTAATGGGAAGGAAAGGGTAATCAAAGAATGCATGCGTAAGAAGCCTGAATTCATGGCTGTAGTGTCCCAGGCGGCCCTTGAATTCCCAAGGGTCACATTCACAGAGAAGCTCATAAAGGGACTGAGAGATGCAGTCAATGCCAAATGCAGAAAAAAGGCGATGATGTTAAGAGCATAGACAAAATAATAAAATACTTCAGAAAGAGATAAAAGGGTGTCCTTTGCTAACAAACGAAATATCAGTCTTGGGTTCATAAAATGTGTACAAATAAAGCTTATCATTAAAACCACTTGTCATCAACAATTGATTTTATATTTTTTTTTACTTCCCCCTTACAATAATTTTTGTATGCTTATTTTGATATTTATCTTGAGAGCTGTAAACAATTAATGGAATAAAGTTCTAGAAACAGATTTCAATCGCGTCCATTAAAAAAAAAAGATATGAGGTATTTTAATTTATAAACAAAATTGGTATTTAGACTGACAGACAGTCGCATTGTGATAACCATCGAAATTCCATTTGTGCACAAAATATACAATAAGGTTGCGGAAACCCAATTGTTATTTTACCCCGCCCAACTGCATTATTATACAAATAACGAATGTTTGTGAGTGCGATGGTAAGAATAATTTCATGAGGTGACAGATTGAATGTTCTATTCCACGAGGCGAAGTCGAGTTGAATAGAACATTCAATCTGTCACCGAATGAAATTATTCTTTCCATTGCACGAACGTGAAACATTCATTATTTGTTTAAATAATGAATGAATAAATCCTCGTCATCTGATTGGTTGACTTTTAATCACAGTGCAATAGAACTTCTAATCACAGTGCAATAGAACTAGTATCATTGCACTGCGCGCCACTCGCGCGCCGTGCAATGGTACGAATAATTCATGACATGTGATCAACGATCCACCAATCAGATGACGGGGATTTATTCAGGCGTTGTATAATATTTTTTATTACGTATCCAGCTAGCTCACCTTAAATAATAACTCTTCCCAACTTAGCATTTCTTTGTTGGAACGTGGACCACATCTATAGGGTTTTTACTTTCGCCCCGCCCGACAGCGTCATTTTGTTCCCCCACTAGGCCCAAAAGCATGGAGGATATTCCAAGAATCCAGTCCACCATAAAATATTAACTCTTTCCATCTCAGCACACAGGGTTTTATTTTTTGCCCCGCCAGAAATCCGAGCTTGATCCCATTATATAAACCCGAATAAATTGTTATTGTTAAACAGGGTTGAATACAGGCCATTGTGATTCCCCAGCATCGAAAAAGCACAGCGTTGGCTGTGCACTACGCTGCTCAGCATCCGTCGACAGTAGGCACAGTAAACAGCCGTTGGCAATTCGAGAGGATCTTCTGGGCGCGGACGATAACAAGTTTGGCTCCTTGCCAAGTAAGGACAGCGTGGGAATTTGTCGATAGTATCACGCAGTGCAACAGCAGATCGTTAGCTGGGCAGATCGTTATGCTATGAAGGCGAAATTTACCACCAATAAGATAGTTCTGAGTATGTAGCTCACGAATTTTTTTTATTCACTCTTCCAATCTCCGCATTTTCTAATAGAACCTGCATGGACCATACATATTTTTTTTTCGCCCCGCCCTGCGGCCGACAACGATGTTATTGCTTTTATTCTGAGCATGTAGCCGCCCTCCAAATATTTTTTTTACCCTTCAAATCTCCGCATTTTTAATATAACCTAGACTTTACATATTTTTTCGCCCCGCCCAGCGGCAGACAACGATATTTAAGGATAAAAAGGCATAAATCTTATCAAACTCCTCATACCTGCTCGTGCTGTCTAAACTGCTGTCTAAACTCTGAAATGTTTTTTTATTTAATGCTTGCTCCGATATCGGGTTTTCAAATTCCAAATCTGATTTAAATTCCAAACAAAAACGGATTTTTTTTTTCTGTACAAGTATATACACATAGTTGTTCTTCGCATCTTTGTTGTGCTGCTCCCGTTCTCGCACGCAAGGGAACGGTTGATTAACATAACAAAACCCCCTCAGTGAAGCTTGCCCAAGCACGATCTACGGAACGCGTTCTAAAAGCCGTTCGGCACGGGAAGGAACGGGGGCCGTTCAGAACGGGAAGGAACGCGTGCGCACGCGTGCGAACGGTTAATTTATTTATGACGCCTCGCCTAACAACTAGGCTGTTTCAGTAGGTGCTTTTCTCTTTGCGTTTAAATCAAAATCATTATTTCGGCAGTGGGAGAGTTACTTTGTGTTTCATAGCTGCACGAAAGATGCATCAGCATTGTGCTATACATATGAGCGCTGTTACGTAACTCTTTTATACAATCATTCTCATGTACAGAGCAGTTGACTATTCAGATTCAGTACGAGCAATTAACCGTACCAAGCTCGTCCTTAATCTGTCTCATCAATCATTGTTTCGCGTCGCACGTCTTTCGGCCGGCACTGATGTCGCTATGATTGAGAGAAATTCTAGCAAGTTTCCCCCAACCTCATTATATTCATATCAAACTACTGACCCGTTTACAAATATTTACGCGGGAATTTTGTTTATCTGATTCTAATTCAGCTCCCTTAGCTAGCTTGGGAAACTTCATCTTTTCTTGTACTTAGGCTACTTAAGTCTAGGGAATGATGCCATTATAATACAATGTCACATTAACGTCAGCCGATGGCAGGATTAGAATCGTGACCACGCGAGTGCAATGACGTCCAGTGGCGTAAATCTGTGCTGGCGAGTTGGGGGGGGGGGGGGATGGGGGATAACCAAAATCCTAAAATTCGGGCGATTCACAATGCGAAGCGCCACCAAGAGTTTGCCACGGAGAGTCAGTGTTTCAAATTACGGTCTACAAAATAAGGCCCATTTGAATGAGTGTCATTAAACAACTTTAGCTTAAAAAGTGGTTATAAATTCGAGTATAGCGGTCTGCCGCCTTACTAAAATCACCATGTTGATACAAAGAAAAGAAAAAGGCAAATTTATAATCAAATCATATACGCTTCCGAAACTACTGACCGGAAAAAAACCTAACAATTTCAAATGTCCCGTACTGCGAATTTGTCGACCATCTCTCACAATGCACTATAGGAAAAATGAACTCTCCGTGGCAAACTCTCCGTGGCACATGAAACGCCAGAATAGCCCGGAAGGCGGGGGGGGGGGGGGGGGGGGGTTGGACACCACATTATACTGGGACGCTCTTTTATCAATTATGTATACTCGCGCTTACATTTTTAAAAGCGATGGTACTTTGTTTCTACACTTTTCAGTGCTATTGAATACATTTTAGTTGCTTGGACGTTCGGGAAATACCTCAAAATCCTCCTTTTTTTCTCATCACGAAAGAGTGGGGGATGATTCAAAGTATGGGGGGGGTATATACCCCCACCCCACCCTCGCTCCGGGAATTACGCCCCTGATGACGGCGCACGGAGCCAACTAGCCTGCCGATCGCAGGGTTCGGGTTCCCATACGCCTTGACTCAAGTCCACGGTCACGAAAAGGCCTTTGAGATGAAACAAAGTAAACCCATGAACCTTTGTGGGGGTGGTACATACATGTGTATCTTGAACAGCGAGTACGAAACCTTAACGGTGCGAGTTCGGGGCCCGCTTAAGGGCCCCTGAAAAAATGGATTCTAGGCGCCCTGTAGTGCGATTTGAGGCAATTTCTGACGACTGCCAAAGTTTTAGCACAGGATCATCAATCAAACCTTTGAGTTTGGAGTCATTAAGTTAGCTGTTCGGAGCTATATAATCAAATGTAGGCTACATATTTTTATTCAGCGACGAAAATCGTTGGGTAACGACATCAGTTCCTTCGTTCCCCACCGATCGACGCCCATGGTTGGCACCGTGCTTCAGAACGACAGACTTTACACGTATTTTTATACGTTGGGTCAATGCAAACATGCTGCACATTGTCAGCTGGTGAAATTTGAAAATTTTAAGAGATACCCTAAAACTTTTTAAAAACCTTTCTCTGCGCGTGTGGGTGTGTGTGGGTAGGCTTATGTTTTTTTTTATGGCGCACTGCGGTATTTTCGTAGGCCCTCTCCCAAGTTGTCTTCATATATCATCTCAATGAAGGTCATTTCCGATTCCAGCAGTTATACATGTTCAATTCATTTATAAAAAATGAAACAGTAAAATAAAGTGGGACATTAATAACACTAATGAATATACCTGATACCTAAACATCTAAATTTACCATTACGATGGTCGAAGCAAGGAAACAGACTCAAACCATCGAGGAATTCCAGGCTTCCCGACTCCACTCGATCGGTGCTGGATCACACATGTACATGTACGTCAAAGCCATTCACACCACACACAATATTGTGGCGAATTTTCCTGGGAATCGAATTCGAATCTGTAGCCCTGTAAATAACGACACCCGTAGGCCTACGTTTGAGGCGAACGCACCCGGATACCCATGTCCAAATTGTATCTCAGACCCTAGAAAGTACTCGAGCAATTTAAAGGCCCTAGGAAATGAGCTCGTTTTGGGGGAAATATACCGCCTACTGGTTACTGATAGTCTGTGCTCCGAATTACTCTGAAATATACTCTCAGGGACCGCAATCTTCTTTTATTTTGAAAGATTATGGCTGGTCTGTTTTTAATTTTTTTTTTTTTTTTTTTTTTTTTTTACAAATCTGACTCAACTGAAAGCTTCTTTAAAATAGAATGACAGCCTGAAGAACCTCTATAAATATATTGAATGATAACTCGGCAACTTAACACTGGACAGACCACCGATGTTTACACGCGAGGTCACTGGCCCCACGTTGCAAGACTGCTATAATCCAATGTCGTACACAACTCATTATATAAAGATTGGCGCGCGCGTCCCCAAATGCGCGATGTCGCACAGAATGCAGCTGTGCCGGTGTGGTGTGAATTAATAGGACTATGACATACTGACTCACTGGTAGTATTGCGCATGTCTACGTGTGCATTGTTAACGTTTAACCAATAAAACGGTATCTAAAAAGCACAAGGGCGGATCCAGAACATCTGGGGGATTAAAAAAATTACGGAGTAAGGTTCGGGCCCGCTTGAGGGCGCCGACATTTTTTTGGATTGTAGATGCTCTGTGGTGCGATCTGAGGCAATTTCTGACCACTTTAACCAATGTTTTTTGAAGAAAAGATGGTGATGTACTCATTGCCAGAATGGATTTGTTTGGAACCGCCCTTGAAAAGGTACCGGATTTCAAAGGAGTCAAAATTTCATGTGACACTGGACAGTTTTACCCATTCCTGTTGGTCGAGAGCCCGTCACGTGGCCAGTTTTTAAACGGTTGATAAAGACAATTATACAAATGGCAACATTGATGAAATATTTCACTCTCCTCCCACTATATGGGACGATCCCCCTCATCCCCCTGTCATGATGCACCTTTGAAATTCAATTCTTAATCAAAGGGTGGACTTTGGCTACTGAATCGAGCCCGACTTGAAATTTTCTTCTGATGTGAGGGTAGTTAAACCGTACTGTAATGGGACTTTCTTAGTCTAAACTTGTTCTTTCTTACTTATGTCACGGCTGTTTTAAAACTAAAGCGATATTTGGCCAGCCCCTGATTTTTGGTTTATCCCATGTTTACATATTCATTGCATTGATGTAGATCGCTCAACTGTATCTACTTCTTTTGTTATTTTAATTTGACAAAAAGCGCCCTCTAGATTTTCATTTTGAATTTTGCGCTTTGAGCGTCATTCAGTTGTTGGATGAAGATGACTGTATACATTTTCGACTCTTCTACAATTTAGAGGGGTGACCAATTTATTTTGTTTTCTCCTTTCAAAGTTTACTTGTATCCTTTTTGGCAATATATACTTTAAGTTTAGCTACATTTTCCTTCCAGTATTCTATATTTCTGTAGTTTGAAGTTGCACTTTCTGGACGGTGTTACGCCATGGAGCTAGCCTTTTTATAGCTCCATAGTTACGGTGATATGATTTAGAATTGAACAAAGCGTGAAAATAATAACTGGTTACCTGTTTCTTTATTTAATTGTAGTATTAATGTTTAGAATTAGTACAGTAATTAACTTAATCATTCTATTCTTGGATGAAGATGACTGTACTCACTATGTTCCACTCTTCTCCAGTTTAGCCTAAATAAGCTTAAACCTAGAAGCAGTTTCCAAGTCACAGTTTTCGTGACCTAAATTACAACACCTATATTAGGATAAGATTACTCATGAAAATGAAGCAATGAACCAAATGCTTTAACAAAAAAGACAACAGAAACCTGACTCAAAATATATACAGCAATGGGGAGGGCAGAAATATTTATAGTGTTATGTTGACATTCCTGATCCTTGGTGTTGCAGTGTTGTGAGATAAAGATTGCAAACAAACAATTTCTACGCGACTGCTGATTATCGCCACAGCGTCTTTTGTATTCCGAAAAAAAATGTGACTTTGGTTTCTTTATCATAAGTTTATGGCCATGACCCTCATTTGCAAAAACATTAGCAACGATTAGAGTCGAAACTCCGTGGTCCGTTATTCTTTAGGGTCTATTTTATTTGCTCATTCTCACCAGGTTGCGAATATAAAGGTAGTCGTACATGGAACCAAAGTCCATTTTTATTGCGCATCAAAAAGCACTATCAATTTTTAGTTTAATTTATACACGCACGGACATCAACGAGTTCACTTTACGAGCGACCTGTGTCAAACATGAAGTTTGTTCTTCTATTGACGGCTTTGTTGTCACATGTAAGAATGTTGAGATCTTTTTGTTTTGGTCATAATGGTTACAAGTGTTATTAAGATTCTAAACCAAAACGACTCGGCCTACTGTTGGCGGACTCTGGTACAATACGCACTGCACCAGAAGAGACTTATTACTGATTGACCTGGCCTATAGGCTATGCGTCAATTATTGATCCTTCAACTTAATTAATCTGGAATGTAACGGTCGAAAATTATGGTCGAAGAAATTTGAGATTGTAGTGATGGTCGAAGGGGAAGGGCAGGCAGAAATCAATAAGGCTATCGCTCCCATACAGGTCCCTATTTGGCACCATGCTTATGTAAGATATTTCCTTTCAGAAAAGTTTGCAATACCCCCCTATAGTTGTTTCGTAGGCTAACTTTCTATGATTCAGTTTTGACTTTTTAGTGAACACTGTGAATATTGCGAAGACCATGCATATCACCTATATCACCAAGTTCAAATGCAAAAACTACGGTACCATTGTTTTGTTTTATATACATTTGTAATTGACTCCGCTCCAATTAGCCTTGTGCTAATGTATACAGGCAAGGCCCACTGACTGTTCACTTGTTTTGCACTACGTTGAACTTAAACGGTTATCAGTAGTCTGAGAAAGATAACTATAAACAAAGGAACTGGCATTACATGAACTATCTTGGTTCCTCTGTTTCCTTACTTCGGAAATCAGAATACAATGGAGGCTCAATAATGACATGTATATTTAGGACCAGCATATTTACAAAGCAGTAAACCACTGAGGCCTATGACTGATTTAGCAGTAGATTCTATATAAATGCAAGGATCAAGTACCTTGTAGCGAAATAAGTTCAGCAAATTTGTCATGTGGGTGACAATAACCGGGGGGGGGGGGGGTATAACAATGAAGGTTATACAAAGTTGACCTGGATCATTCTATTATCCTATAGTTTTTAGTTAAAAGTTATATATCATTATGTATAGATCAGTAATACTCTTGTTTCGACGACAAAGATGAAAACAATTGCTGCCACAAATCATGTTCTTGTAGTCTGGTTCCCTGACCCTGACGGAGAAATGTAAAGACTTTAGGGAATTGTTAGGTCAAATAATCAGTCTAGCAGGCTTGTGCCCCTTCGCAAGTGTGAAATCAATTGCAAAGAAAATGCGGAACAACTAAATATGAAAAGCAGTTAAAAAAAAAAAAAGAGTTTTCTCCTGGCCGACCAGCATTTGAAAAATACAGTTTTGCTTGAAAATGTCAGCACACCAGGAGCCACCATTTTACAGGATGCTTTAGACTGTCAATCCCTAGCAATTCAGTCAGGTATTTCGTGATCATCTCGTTTTTTGATGTTTGCAAATGTTGCATCTTCCCTTTAATGCAGGATAACCCTCCTCCCATGCAGTTAATCCCCGCCTCTCCCCTTGACCCAAACCTGGATTGCAGTTATTAAAGCATGGCTACTTTTAGCTGCTATCACAATTCGATGTGGTTAACTTGGTTAATTTTTATGGATTTCGGATCACCGTAATCGGTGGCTCATTAGGAAACTTTACAATAACACCACACCTTTTTAGATATATTTATGTTTGATTGCAAAGATATTAAATATCGTTTTTTTTTGTCTTGCACCGACGGATTTTATGAACGATGTATGCTCAGTGTTGCCCCCGAGTGATTGTGAGAAAAAAATCGTTAGAAGAATCACTCAGGTGGGACTCGAACCCACGACTGCCTGCTTACTAGCGTACACGTCTTACCGCTCGACCAACGAGCTTGCCTATGGGATATTGCCAAAATAGGGGAAAATGACCAGCACCATAATTATTTGTAGGCTGTTGGTCTGAACTCTTTAATCAAGTCATGTTCATTGTTTAGGTCATTATTCCCTTTTGATCTTGTTTGGGCAGGTTTTCCTTTTAGTATGGGCGAATGCTACAGTCCAGTTCAAGTTTGTATCTTTCTACAATTCCGACCATAATGATTATGACCGTGGTTGTTGCGATGACTTCTTCGGTGGCTGCGATGATTTCTGTGATAACTACTTCTTTGTATGTATCGACGGCGACGATACAGGGTACGTAAGATAGTCGGTATCATTCAAGTATTAATATAATTATATGTGATAGAATTTTTATTTAATCTAAAAAAATCCATAATGTCCGGACAGTTTGGGGGTATACCGTTCGCATGTTACGTCAGCTTCTAACATTTGCTACTGCTATTAGACTTTTTTCAATGCCCATCGCCATTTTGAAAACGATGCCTACACTCCATTGCAAAATAGAGCGCTTTTAGGGTCCAAATTACATCCAATTTACACAGAACTGCAAGCTCCCAGTCCTGTGCACGGCTTCCACCCATATTTTTTACAAACCCTCAAGTTCCCACAGCATGCTCAAATACCGAAGATTTTGAGGGCATGCAAATCGCGATTTGGCCGGCGCAGGCAATTTCGGACCGATTTACTGGTCTGCACCCTATAAAGAAGCGAGGTTTTGAAAAAATTACCCAAACCACTTCTACGGCACGAGGAAGGATGGATGACTCATATTTCATCAAAAAATTGCGAGAAAAAATCTCTGACTGCGATTTCTGGCCTGAAAACAAGCCCTCTGTTTGCGGCTACCTTACTGTAGGGCGCCCCCAACGGGAGTTAATTGAGTTTTTGCTCCTTCCGACCCCAAATTACCCCCCCCCCCCTGTTCGCTCGAAATTGTTGTGATCGGACGACGGTCCATCGGCCCCATTCAGATTTTGGGCGCATTTGTTGCGGAACCGCCATTGCTGACCCCTTTTGAAACACAGCCCCCCCCCCCCATGTTCCGCCCCCTTAAAAAAAACACTGTCGTGGAATGTAAAGCGTCTGCGCAAACATTTTGACAACAAACGATGGAAGGCGCCATTTTGAAACTATAGGTAGCAGACCAGTAAATAAACTTCCATAGACCCCAATGGTAAATGCTCCCACTTCAAAAATTCGGGAAAAATACTCACAACTCTCCAAGGTGTTCGAGACACACATCAAATTAAAGCTTATTTCATCATCTTTCATTTTCTGTTCAATTTAGGGGGGGGGGGTCAACTGATGACTTTTACTAGGAGAAATTTCAATCTGAAGACGATCACCCCTGAAAATAGTCCTGAAGCCCATCGCCAGTTTGAAAAACGATGCCTACACTCCATTGCAAAATAGAGCGCTTTTAGAGTCCTGTGCACGGCTTCCACCCATATTTTTTACAAACCCTCAAGTTCATGGCCCACAACATGTTTAAATACCAAAGATTTTGAGGGCATGCAAATTGCGATTTGGCCGGCGCAGGCAATTTCGGACCGATTTACTGGTCTGCACCCCGAAGCGCTATCCAGTCAGTATAAAAGAGATCAGTGGTTCGTGTGTGTGTTGGGGGCCGGGATCGCAGTCGATTCTCTGTTTGTTTTTTGACTTAGTACATGACTTAGTTTGTTGACTTAGTAAATGCAACTTTGTGTCCCATTCAATAGTTCATGTTCAGCTTTGGAAACAATCAAACTGTGTTCTTCGAACACTTTCAAGTCCCTGGTCCTGCCTGCGAAATGGCAGATATCAGAATCGCGAAACTTATTTTCAATATTTTGGTTTTTGGCATTTTAAAGGGTATTTTGGTGCCTTTCGTTTTTTTATGCTAATGCGAGTTTTCATTTTCATGAGCAAAACTGTGATGTCCTTGCGGCTGAAACCCCAATGTTACAGCTATTTTAGCACCAAAAAGTTGCTAGAATTTTGGATATTTTCTATCGTCAATTTACATTTCTTTGGTGATTTCCTTAGTTGTGTCAGTACATCGCAGTTAACCTATGAGCAAACCTTTCTCACAAAATGTTTTCAATGAACAAATTTTGAGTTCACAATTTGAACAGAAAACCCTTAAACTGAACAGTGTGTTCTTGAAATGACATCACAGCAACAGCGTCTTCAGTTGTGGACAATTTTAAATGTTTAATAAAGTGCATTTTTCCAATAGAATTAAGCAAACAGGGAGGTGAAATAGTTTTCCTACATTTAAAAGGAGTAGAAAGTTTACAAAATGTGTTTTTAAGAAAAATCAATCGCATGAGCCCTTTAAAGTGAGCAAATTTTATGTTCAAAAGTTTTAGTGACAGACACATGTTGGTTGACACATGTTGGTGAAAATATCTTAAGTGTATGCACAGTGTGTGCCCATAGTGACACCACAGCGATGCCTTCATTTGTCAGGAAATGGCTTGGAGATAGGGGCCTACAGACAAAATAATTAAAACTAGTGTTTCGAGTGCGACGCCGTACCTTGAAAATTGACCCCATCTTTAAGAAAAACAGTGACGTCTTGAATCAAGGCTATTATATATAATCATATGCTATTAACTACAATGTTAAGGCAAAAGTAAGGATATATGGAAATGAATATGTAATTAGTGCAAAGTGAAATTTGCTTTCTGAGAAGGTTTGAAGAGGGCCAAACTAAGTGTCGGTTTTGTTACAAACAAATAAACGATAGCTCGTTAGGTGTTGACCGCCTCGAGGACAGTTGTGATGCTTCTTATTAGGCCTTTTCCGAATTGTTTCTTTCTTTAGACCTATTGATTTCATGTTCAGTTTTGGAGACCTTTTCAAATATCTAATTGTGTTTAATCATTCTCTTTGAACACTTTCAAGTCCCTTGGGTACATCCTGCGACATGGCAGCTATCACAACAGCGAAACTTCATGAGGATAACGACAACTTCAACTTCCCCTCCACCATACCCAACCTGATAGCGAACCCGTACACCATGCGTGTCACCTCCTGGTCGGTAAGCTGTTCAACAGTGGCACTATAGGACACTATATCTAGCGTTTATAGATGGCGAAACTGGGCCCAGATCAATGTACACCTTTACGAGGCCCCCTTCATTGGAGGAACCACTGTGCACGCTATTGTACAAAGCAACAGCTTTCGCTGTTTTTAGATGTATATATTTGGCGAGTCTTTTTTTTTGGATGTATATGTTTAGCAAGTCTTATTTTTTTGGGATGTATATGTTTGGTGTATATTGTTTTTTGGATGTATATGTTTAGCAAGTCTTATTTTGTGTGTATATATTTGGCGAGTCTTGTTTTTTTATGTATATGTTAAGTCTTGTTTTTTGGATGTATATGTTTGGCGAATCTTGTTTTTTTGCAAGTATAAATTTGGCAAGTCTTGTTTTTTTTGCAAGACTTAGTTATATGTTTGGCGAATACTGTTTGACATTGTTATCCTCTCTAGAGTGAAAGAGTAAAGCATCAAAGCTACAAAGAAATATAAATATCCAAAAAATAAGACTTGCTAAACATAATACATAAAAATAAACTCGCCAAATATATGCATCCAAAAAACAAGACTTGCTAAACATATACATCTACAAAACTAGATTCATCAAACATATACATCGAAAAAACCCAAGATTCACCAAACATATACTTGCAAAAGAGCAATTTATACATTCGATGGCACAAACGGCCTTTCGTAAAACTGCACAAAAAACTGCATCGGGTGCATGGGTGATCCGCAACTGTCTCACGCGGAATAACAATCTTTCGGCGAATACAGCAATTCAGTTAATTCAAATACCAACATTATTATTACCCAGTGGTACTTGAGATTATGTCCTTATAAGAAAACCGATAATGTAGAAAAGAAAACGATAATGTACACTACCTTCCCATACACCGGAAACCAGATTTTTGCCTTTACGCGCTTCCTTTAACGGGTCTGTTACCAAACACGCCGATATTTCACCGAACTGGATCGTGGGGAATTTTTAAGCGATTTCCAATTTTTTTTTCTCCCGACAATTTCAAAATAATAGACCTTCAAATTGGTAAAAAGAAAGTCTCGAAATACTTGAATTGATTTCTATTTAATCAAGTGATCTGGAACTGTCGATGCCGGAACTGTTGCACTCACTGTATTACATGACCGATATCTTACCAGAATGGGTGGGGGGTGTCCAAGTAGTTACAGTCACACTTGTACAGAAACCGAAGGGCCTTAAACAATTAGTCGTAATTTGCCTTATTCTTTATGAAAAAAAATATATGCATTTTTGTTCTCGAGCGGGCCTATTTTGCCTATTAGTCTAATAAAGAGGCTGGTTCGGAAGCGCCGAACTCCCTTTACACTCTCATTAGCTGCCGCTGGCCTTAGTTCACTTCTTTTACATCGAAATCAAATCATGGTTATAAGCGTGATTGCTTGTTGTGTGTGATCGAAAATGCGGCTGGCATGCAGTAACATACATCAGTCTATATGAAGTGGCTTTAGCCGCTGCCATGAGTGAGTGCATGTATATTTGCAATCCGACTTTAAGTGTTCGTATTTTCGATTGTTTGACAGGATAGCATGCAAGTCTTCGTTCGAGTCTGGGATCTGGATACCCAGAATAATGATGACGAGATTGATCGTGCTAGAAGGACCATTTATAAAGAGGCTGCACGGAGTCTATCAACCGCGACGTGGCAGCAGTATAGGCTGGGCTCACGGTCACAGTACGTCACTAGGACATGAATGACATAAAAAGGAAAGATTTATCTACCAATAAAAAAAATATTCGCTTTTTAATGGTACACTGAAAAAATTACTATCCACGTTTATGTATAGTTTAGAATAACAAATGCGAGTGCACAATGGCCGCCTTGCATGAAAGTCTTGCACGAAATCCATCAAACGATCCTTGCCAGAGCTTTAAAATGCGGCGTCCAGAAATATGACGCCGATGGCACATATGGAACACCATACTTTAGATATATACTTAAATTTGTAGCGATTTGTGATAAATACCACGTGACTATCACATTACTGCACATGTTTTGCCTCCATTTACAAACTTTTTAAGAACATCTTTCCGAATTTTTACAAAAAAAAGCTGTTAAGTATTTACTTTTTGTTGTTTGCCTTTTTTTCAAAATTAAAATTTGGTGTTTATTTTCATGGGAAACTATAAGAGGCTTATTTTGGTCAATTTGCCGGGGACCGATCGATTGACCGACCGATTGACCGACCGACCGACCACCAAGTGACATGTGACATAATTCTCACTTTGTAAATATTTGCGGATCAACAATAATTCAGACGTAAAAATAGAGGTAAAATGAAGAGCACGGACAATGAAATCTTTAACAGTTTTTGAAACGCTTGGTTGCATATTATGCAGCAACCAACTGGTCCTAGTTTTTTAAATTACTATTTACGTTATTTTAAACAATTAACATGCACACATTAGCACCATAAGCCAGTTGCGAGTTAAATTTGTATCTGAAACGCTGACTTAATCCAATGCTTTGCACGTTTTAACTTCGCATTCTCCCAGCCAAAGAGACTGTTACTATATCACATGATTCGGGGCAAGCTTTGTGCTGGCAACCCCCAGCTCCGGCATGGTCTGGTGTCTTTGTGCCATTCTCGCCTATTGTGAACAATGTGTTCGTGCTGAGCGTCCCTTACGTAACTAATCATGTGATTAGCAACAGTGCGTTTGGTCTGGAGAATTCAAAGTTAAAATGTGCCAAGCATTCCGAGTAAGTCAGTGTGACCAGAAAGGGTATAGGCCACTCGCAATGGTTTATTGAAAAGGGACCGGCGTGTTTGCTGCCACCAAGTGTCTCCAAAATCTCTAACTTCAGAAAATACTGCATGAATCACATGGCATTTTGCATTTTAACCGGGTCGCTAAGCCAAAAAATCAAAACATGCAAAAAACAGCTCCAGGTGGCACGTGAATTATCATATCACTCACAAGACCAATTTGAAATGTCAAAGAAGAATCAAGGTCCGACATTTGGTCTTCAACAACTATACCTGCCTCCAAAATAATTGCAAAATATGTATTTCGTGGGTGTGTGCACCCTAAAACTTTCTCCGAATGCATGGATTGAAAAAGTAAAAGTTTGACAGTTCTTTTCTCGCAGACATAACTACTTAATGCAAGCCTTTGTAGAATTTGGAGATTGTAAATTGTGTTGCCCACTCTTCATCTGTTTGCTTTACTCTCTCTCTCTCTCTTTACCTTCAAAAATTACTAGGATCGACTTCATTTTTGAAGTGAGGGTGTATTGCGACAGTTATTACCATGGCTCCGACTGCAGTGTGCACTGTATTCCCAGGGATGACCAGTATGGACATTACCGATGCGACGCCCTTACGGGAGACAAAATTTGCTACAGTGGCTGGAAAGGTACATCCAGTGTTTTTGTTGTCTTTTTGTTTCGCAGCTTAATGTTTGGTGAAATACACACAATTTGTTTTTAAACCTTCAGACTAATTACAGACCCTTTTGGCTCGGTTTAGGAAAACGTTGAAAGGATAGCATGTTGATAATTTATCAAAACGGGAATAGGGACAACGTTCATTGATTTTGATGCTATTTTTTGTTCTTTAAGATGACTATGTAAGTTGTCATACCATATGTGCTCCAATGACTCTAAGTCGTAGGTGTTAGAACACGGCCTTTAATTGTAAACTCCCATCAACATTTTGTCTCGGTCCTCTTGCTTTGCAGGATCCAATTGCGAGCTTGATTACGATGAATGCCAGTCTAATCCTTGTGCTAATGGCGCATGCGTTAACGGGGTCGATCGATTCAGCTGCTCCTGCACAATTGGCTGGACTGGTAAGTGAAAACAGTTTAACGATTTCTTGTGTAAATGAACAGTTGAGCGTGCTACCATGGGCGTAGCGAGGAGGGGGCAAGGGGGGGGGGGGCAAAAAAAAAGAAGAAGAAGAAGAAGAAGAAAGAAGAGAAAAAACGAAAAGAAAAAGAGGCGCGAAGACAAAGTGGTGTAAATTTAATGAGTTGGGGGGGGGGGCAAAATGTCCCTGCCCCCCTCTAAAACTGATAAATCGAGAATATGTTGAGAAATGCAAGCATTTTTGGCAATTTTTTTTTTTTGCCCCCCTCTAGAAAAAAATCCTGGCGACGCCCATGCGTGCTACAAACACGCAGAGCTGATATAGAGAGAGTTGCGACAACATCAGACTGTTGAACCATGGGCCTTATTCACGAGTTGACCATTTTTGTCGAGATCCCTGACTGTATTTCATTAATTGTTAACTGTTGAATGGGATGGCGCCAGACTGTTTATCCAGGCATAATGCAGCCTTATTTTACAGTCATTTTTTTTATCTGGCTTTAAACATTTAGTGAACGTTTAATTACAAATTTGAAATTATGAAATTATTCATTGAAGCAGACTGGAATTAATTAGTGATTAACTTGCTGTTATTTCTCTACACAAGTTCAAAAAATCAAGATTTTACCTCACTTTCAATCCAATATGGCCGACTCGTGAATAAGGCCCCACAATGGCCTTTCATTATGTGCACAGTGCAGCGTGCGACCACATGTATTGCGTATGACTTACTAGCTAGATGGGTGGAGTTGACTGTTTTTTTTTACCGTTTATACGGTGAAATCTTGATAAGTCAAACTCTGATAACTCGAAACAACTATTAAGTCAAAAAAGAAAAACTGTTTTGTATCGTTTGTACAGTAAAAGATTTGCTATATATACCGCTGCCACTAGGAGAATGTTAAAAATGCCACGTGTCCATTGTCACCATATCCCTGTCTGATCGGTTTTACCAAAAGTTGCCCTTCTTACCATTTTTTTGTGCAACTTTCTGCTCCTCTTAAATGTATGAAAACTATTAACACCCCTTGATGGTCAATGTTATTCGGAAGTGCACAAACATTTACAATTGTCTATGCTTTTCCGGACAACTGAGACCGCTGTTGATGGAAAGTTTCAGGAAGAAACTGTTCAGTTCAGGGGTTTCTGTTCAAAATTAATTCCAACAATAATTATGCTCAATGAAAACATTTCTGAGAAAAGTGTTCACTGGTGTACTGATATGTACTGACACAACAACGAAACACAAAAGAAAAGGAAATTAACAACGGTAAAATATCCAAAACTCTGGTAACTTTATTTGTGCTGAAATAACTGTAACGCTGTCTGCCTGAAATGACATCACACTCTTGGTCATCAATATGTAAATTTACATTTGCATAAAAACCCAAACGAAACAAATTAAAAATACCCTTGAAAACTCTCAAAACGAAAATTCAATATAAGGTTAAATGGGACACAAATGTGTACTCGCAGTGACTGCATGAAAATAATTACATTGCACGGAGCCCTTTAAAGATGTTTTTCCACTTGGAATACCATATGATCAGGCCTTTTCATCGTGTCCCTTGTAACTACTCAAAAACTACAAGGACTTTTTGAGTTATATAGCTTTACCATATTTGTATAAACCACATCGTTAATGTGTTTCACAGGACCGACATGCGACATCAACGTGGACGACTGCGCGTCCATGCCTTGCAAAAACGGCGGGACTTGCCACGATCACGTGGCAAATTTCACCTGCGCATGTCCCCTTGGTGAAGTGTACGCGGACGAGTTCTGCGAGTACGACGACTGCGCAGGTCAACCATGTCAGAACGGAGCCACGTGTAATGATCTGATTGGTCAATTCAAGTGTGTGTGTCCACTGGGTTATTTTGGAGATCTTTGCGAGGTAACGGATTCATGTTCCTTTGTTGGTGCCAAGTCGGTATATAATTGTTTAATGTACGGTTACTGGCTCCACCCACGCAAAATATTGCTGCAGTGCACATAATCTAGTTCTCAAAACAAATGATGCTAACTATTGATGATCAATTACCGACTTGGCGAAAACGTTTTTAATTGTATACACAACATATGGGAGCATTTTGAATCGCTAGCGAATTCTATGCGAGAACTCTGATTGGTTCAGATTCCAGAGTGTATTCTAGGCCACCACGGAAGATCATTCTCTTTACTTCGAGGGTTTGTACTTTGTGCTGTGCAACATTACAAAATTCGTTATAGGGCATACACGACTCAAATAAATGAAGTACATCACAATGATACATTTTATTTCTATGCACAATTGACCTAGCTGAGTGTATTAGTCGTTTAAACGTCGCAAGATCTGCAGACATGCCCACAACGTATTGAGAAGAACTCCCCACGCAACAGAACGAATGAGTCCTCATTTGCATAGAGGTGCGCGATTGGATCTCACTGCAAAATGCACTGCATAAAATTATGTAATACGCTGCTTACATGAATGAATAACGGTGCGAGAACGTAATCGTCAAGTCGTTAGATTTGTCGCAACCCGGCCGATTACGTTCTAGTCTTATACCAGCCGCGCCGATGGAGGTCGACTGAAGTTTACGGACAAAATACGACTATCACGTATATCTATAACGATTTGTCATCAAATCCACTGTTATTGCGGAAGTCGTCTTTTTTGTTCATTTACGCCAGGCACATTTACTTCAAATTAGCTTTTGCCCGCACCGACGTATAAACACTGTATACTCAGTGTGTTACCTCCCGACTGAAAGTTGGAAAAAAATAGTGCGCGATTGGATCTCACCGCAAAAATGCACTGCATAAATTATGTAATACGCTGCTTACATAAATGCACTACATAAATGGAGGTCGACTGAAGTTCACGGATATTCACGGACACTGAGTATACAGTCTTTATGCGTCGGTGAAGGGAAAAACCTAATTTGATTTACATCACCCCGACGCAAATTCCATCTTATGAACACATTTACTTCAACCAGTTACCGTGTGCATTTCCCACATATAGGGTGCGGATTTCTCGCCCATAAATTGCCAGCCTTGATAATAAATATATTAGAAACGCCATTAGAAAGTATATTTTAATTGAAAGTGGGATTTCTGTTTGTTATACACACGTATTTTGTATGCCTATTCAGAAAATCTTATGTTGGTGCTTATTGTTGAATGGTAGGCCAACAACAAATTTGCTGTTCTTGGTGATATCGGATCAGATCAGATGTTCGAGCATAATTACACAAAATCAGTTGGGTGAATGTCGTATTATCAAAGGTTCTGTGCATAACATGACATAAGCCTACAGCTGTCAGTCCCCGGATTTCTACATTTACATCTACACTATTATTGATAATGATGTCTATTTCTTGCTAATGAACAGTTTCTTTTGTTAACAGGTCGATATCGATTACTGCATCAACCAAACCTGCGCCAATAACGGCACGTGCGTTGACCGAGTGGGCGGATTTCACTGTCTGTGCGAGACGGGCTACGAGGGCCTCTTGTGTGATGTGGAAACAGACGAATGTAGTTCCAATCCGTGCCTTCACAATGGGACGTGTCATGATCTCATTGGGAAATATCAGTAAGTTCGATCGAATCCCAAGCAAATTCACGCGTAAATTAGGCCTATTACATGTAGTGTAATGAATCCATTATTGACTTTGTCCAATAATTCAATCAATAAAAAGAACAATAACATTATGGAATGACTGTGGCCATGGGCATCAATCAATATCGGGGGACATTTCCCCCCACTTTTTTTCTGTGACTTTGTACACACCTGTGTACTTATTAACCCAAGTTCCTTCACTGACTATCCCTATTGCCGAGTATGATATATGTCTATATCTTTTATAAATAGTCGTCATGCTCATCAAAGGCATATTCTTTGAGAGGTCGAAACCTCCTTGCTACCACGGTGTCAGATTTAACGTTTGGTATACCGTGAGGTATATCTAGGTTGTGTAAACTTTAGGTTTACTCCGATCTTAACGATAACCAAGTTAACGATCATTAAATAACAATATTAACTTTTACTTTTAAATAGTCGTCACTTCTACATCAAACAGTTCCATGCACGCTTAAGTCACCATACAATTTTGAACATTTTGAACAGTGCACGGCCTCCGATTAATCCATGTACTGAATTGTTTTTCCCTAAAGGTGTGCATGTCTAGAAGAATATGAAGGAACACACTGTGATTTGGAGACGGACGAGTGCCTGAGCTCCCCGTGTAGAAACAACGCAACTTGTGAGGACGAGTTCGCTGGATACCACTGTCACTGTGTCGACGGGTACGAGGGTGACACGTGCGAGATGGACATAGACGAATGTGCCTCGTTCCCATGCTATATCAATGAGACCTGCGTGGATGAGATCAACGGTTTCTGGTAAGTGTGGCGCCGTGTATGATTGGGCAAGCATTACTTTTGTGAACAATTTCACCAGTTTGTCCATTGGAAGTTGATCAACTGAGTTCTCCAGTAAGAAGAACATCAATGACAGCGGTGGATTAAAACCAAAATTTATGAGGGTCACGAATCTGATTAGTGCTCTACGCTTGGTCTGTTATCCGACTGGCTAGCAGTGGATTTTACTCATAATTTAACAGGTAACTATTTTCCCCTTAATATCAGGTGTCAAAGGTTGAATCTGTGTGATAATGATCCGTGTTTGAACAACGCCACTTGCGTGGACGTTTACCCGGGGTTCATCTGCGAATGCGTGGCAGGCTACGGCGGAAAAACGTGCGACCAAGACATCGACGAGTGTGCCAGCTCGCCGTGTCTACGGGGCACATGCACCGATCACCTGGATGGGTACACCTGCCTCTGCCCGCCGGGCTACGGCGGAGAAAAGTGCCACAGTGAAACCAACGAGTGCAACAGCTCACCCTGTCTGAACGGGACTTGCTGGGATCTCATCAACGGCTACGTTTGCAACTGCACGGCGGGGTATGAAGGCGTGCTGTGTCAGAACGAAATAGATGAGTGTGCTAGCTCGCCGTGTCTACACCAGGGCACCTGCACCGATTACCTGAACGGGTACACCTGCCTCTGTCCGCCGGGATACGGCGGAGAAACGTGCGACCAAGAAGACATCGACGAGTGCGCCAGCTTGCCGTGTCTACACCAGGGCACCTGCACCGATCACCTGGACGGGTACACCTGCCTCTGTCCGCCGGGATACGGCGGAGAAACGTGCGACCAAGACATCGACGAGTGCGCCAGCTTGCCGTGTCTACACCAGGGCACCTGCACCGATGACCTGAACGGGTACACCTGCCTCTGTGTGCCGGGATACGACGGAGAAACGTGCGACAAAGACATCGACGAGTGCGCCAGCTTGCCGTGTCTACACCAGGGCACCTGCACCGATCACCTGGATGGGTACACCTGCCTCTGTCCGCCGGGATACGACGGAGAAACGTGCGACAAAGACATCGACGAGTGCGCCAGCTCGCCGTGTCTACACCAGGGCACCTGCACCGATCACCTGGACGGGTACACCTGCCTCTGTCCGCCGGGCTACGGCGGAGAAACGTGCCACAGTGAAACCAACGAGTGCAACAGCTCACCCTGCCTGAACGGGACTTGCTGGGATCTCATCAACGGCTACGTTTGCAACTGCACGGCGGGGTATGAAGGCGTGCTGTGTCAGAGCGAAATAGATGAGTGTGCTAGCTCGCCGTGTGAGCACGGAACGTGTGTGGATGAGTTGAATGGCTACAGGTGAGCAGCCTTAGTTTTTTGGTAGGACTTTGGTATAATCCGCAAGCTCATGAAAATCGTATGAAAATTAAAGAAGCGAGAATGGTATAGGCCATACGACCCTTTGCCTGACAGCCATTATATGGGTGTATGAGCTTTTGTCACACAGGCATACGCATGCACAGACCATGTGGCGTATTCAAACTTGACGCTGAATTCAAATAAACAAAATATATTTCCAATATGGCTGCTGCATACGATGGACCTGTCGTGACTCACATTTACCTGAGCATTATTTGGTTTATACAGATGTGAATGTGATGTGTTTTACGAGGGCACTCAGTGTGACACGGTGATAGATGAGCCATGCGCCCTCCCAGACCCACCGTGTCAGAACGGTATATGTGAAAACACCAACAGCGCTAACGATTACAATTATAAATGCACCTGTGATGACGGCTTCTATGGAACCAATTGCGACATAGGTAAGACAAGACCAAAATGGAATTTGCACTTTAATGGGAAAAAAAACATACTCAGTCTTTATACGATAGGACCACATCTTAATTGGAGCTTGATATTTCATAATGGAAAAAATCCAGAAAAAATTCCGAACAGGTTTTCGAAATAAAAAGTCCCCTGATGTCTTTTGTTGTCTACTTTTACACCTGACATATTGCTTTTTGGTGAAGTAGTGTCCCCAATGTCACTTACACGAATCAAGCCCTACCCGATAATATTTTCTGCCATTTATTATTTGTGATAATATTGTTGCGGTCGTTGGCTGGATAAAACTCGGCGCAGAAGCGGAATCGAACGAACGCAAAATTAGGAATCGGGCCTAGTAGTTGTGCTCCAAATTCGCACATAATTAAGCACATTTTGAATGCCGGCAAATTTTTCACAAGTACTTTAATTGTTGCATTTTCAAAATCAAAATCAAAGCTTATAGTATAGTACCTTAAATTGTATTCATCATCTATTTTGGGGCAATCGTTTCACGACATTGAAATAAACAAATTCCTGTATTTCTTTTGTCACGTGTCTAAGAGTCAAAACTGTACAGTGCCGTCGTCATGGTGATTGGAAAGTTGGGAGATCAGTCTGCTTTTGAAACCAAATTGGCCAATCTGCTGCAGAAACTCTACGCACTTCAATCGCGCGTGCGCAGAGACACCGGAGAAACTGTGACCGTGGAAATAATTCTGACAGAGGACTATGTCAAATCTACCGATAGGTATATATATTACTCCACAGTTGTCTTGCAAGGTTTAATTGACACAGACAATTGAAATGAAATTATCAGTTGATGACGCCAAATTGTTGCTATAATGTCAAGTTAATCGTCTCGTAATTAGTTTACCGAAAGAATAATAATTCATTTTTGGTTTGAGAAAAGCACTGTTAACAATCTAGTTAAAAAAAATCTCCAAGCTATCTATCAAAAACATTTGCTTCCAAATGTTTATATGACTTTCAATTTTATTGGCATGATAACACACATTAAGGCACTCCATACAATCGCGCAAAGGCAATCCTACTCCATAAAGCGATCAGCAAATCCGTCGTTACTATTTGACAGTGAGATGATCAATGAATTCCATGCATCGGGCTCTAATCACAGAACATCAACTGTTTATCCCCACCAGCTCACCACTGACCAGAGTCACCTTTCTAGCTTGGACTGAGTCGGGTTACTTACAGAAGGACACCATGGAGGCTTGGATTGATGGGGCGCCGACGGATCTTCCTGCCCAGTTCGGCTTCGACATCTACAAGGGATCGGCGAAGCCATACACCGAGGTATAGGATTTCTCCCCTTAACTGGAAGAAACTTTGAGTCAGTTACAATTTTAAAGATCTGTCGTGGCACGATGTGAAGTCATGCGAGTTCTACTCGGAGACCTTATAACATGTGGCTCTTCTATAGAACTTCTCTCACTGATAGACACTTAGGTTCCTCCTTAACCCCCTCCTTCTGTCAGGAGGGCTTTCCTTTCTCATTGCTCCATTGCACATCTTCACCACTCTCCTCGGTTTTCCTGCCTCCTTTCGTTCTTACGTCATTTTTGTTCCGCGAGTTGAGGTAGTTACTTGACTTCCTTCCCTCTCACTGATTCGTTGCGGAACTCCTTACCCAAATTCCTTTTTCCTCTTCGAATGTTTATCTCAGTTTGACGGGATGATCAACTAATAATTAATTTTTGTCTTTAAATCCATGGATTATTTTTTTGTGGCTGCCAAGTCGAGTGGCCTGTAGCATTCTTGTTATAAAATAGTAAATTCGCGTTTTCAAAATATAAAACTGATCACGAGATGATGAACAAACTGCCAATAGAAGGATGATGTAAATGACAGTAATGGTTGAAGATGATAGTGAAAATGGCGGTGATGGCAGTGAGGATGGTAATAACGTTGACTTGATAACGGTGAAAATAATTATGATGATGGTGATAACATAACATAAGTAAATAATGGGGATATTTCAACTATGCATAATATAGCTATGGTGATCGGATATGACAGACGATAAGCCATATATTTGTGATTTCGTTTTACAGAGCTGGATCAGTTCCAACTGGTACATCATTCTACTCGTTGTCGTTACTGTAGCTTTGATTGTTGCGGTCGGGTTTCTCTTCTACCATAAAGGAGAGTAAGTAATAATGCTTGAGTTCAAGTCAAGTCGAATCAGGACGTCATGTAGTTCCGAATCAGGACGTCATATAGTTCTAGGACAGAAGGAGAAAAGATGTCTGACAATGCATTTCCAAAAGGTGTCGAAGGGTGCTGGTATATCAGAGCAGTTTCCAGATATATCATCAATGTAACGATCAATTTTAGCCATCAAAATTGTTGCTCTAACAATTTCTTTAACAATATAAATTATGTCTACTTATGAAATTATTAAGTTCAAATTTCAAAAGGAAAATAGCAATGACCAGTATACTTATAAATAGAGAAAAAAGTAGGGTATTCCGATGAAGAAAGTCTTATTTCCTCAAGATAATACGATGTTGAACTTAAGTCACATTTTCTATGTTTTTTTTTCTTCAATTTCACGACCTGCCAACCATATTTATACATCAGTGAAACGCTCAAAATGTTTATACATCGGTGAAACGCTAAAAATGAGAACAAACCGTTAATAATTCAAGTTCAAAGAAAGCATCTGCTGCGTGTAGTTTTCGTTAGAAAACGCGTTATCTTAGCTTCCAATGTATGTTCCAGTATAACAGCTCTTTATGCCTCTTATAAAAATTGCACCCTGAAGAAATGAGATTTAACTAGCAATCAGTCTTAATTACACCCGGCTGACGATATCTATATTTTCCGTTGATAGTTGTAGTCAGCTGACCGCAAGTGTGACATTTTTCAGTTACTCTGACTTAAGGTTATATCGGAGTAGTACTACCTAAGACGTATGTTTTTGCTCTTACAGCCTCGGTCGAGCCAAGGATGCTGCGATCAAGTACCGAGGTCGCGACCGGGCCCAATCGGCCCTCGAGACGACCTTCAGTACCCATAAAGGGGAGGTGGACATCGCCTACAGTGCCCGCATCAAGGATGACGCCCCTACTCTACCCAAAAGACCCGACCGTCCCAACATGGTGGAGTCCGTCAACCCCGCGTACACATCGAGCTGTGACCAGTCTGACTACTGTGGGTCTGCCACTGCCGGTGCCGAGAAGGCTTTCTTCGTTGCCTTGGATGGGGGCGGGGAGAAAGCAAGCAACTACTACGCCGATATTCCCGCGCTCAAGGCCAAAGCTGTGGCCAAGGAGAACTCGTACTATGAAGTAGGACATATCAGTGGCGTAAATCCATGCCGGAGAGTGTGGCAGATGGGGGATGACCATGCGGCAAAATCCTAAAATTGTCCGGTCGTGTGAATTCAAAATGGGATTTTTTTTGTAGTGTTAATTTAACACCATTCGGTATCTATATAGGACATCACCAGTAAAATCTAACACCAGATGGTCCTATATAGATACCAATGGTGTAAATTTAACACTCCGGTTTTTGCAGTGATAGGGGTGCTGTTCACGATACAAAATACATGTAATTGAAACATACGTTTACACGTCCCTTAAAACCGTAACCAGCCTTAATCCTCAAAAATCCCCCGGTTTGGGAGGATTTTGGAGGGTTGAGGATGAATGATGCTTGAGAAAAATTAGGATTTTGGAGAATTGAGGATGAATGGTGCTGAAGCAAATGAGGATTTTTGAGAATTGAGAATGCAGAGAGAGGCAGGACTTGTCTGACGATTTGGAACGATAGAGGCGCTGGGTATCCTTCATTTAAACACAAGTGCAACATTTTGAAGTCTTTTGGAAGAATAAGGATGGGTCCCAGCAAAAAGGGCCCAAGGGGGTTGTTAACCTTCAAAGCTGGGCATTGAAAGCTTATTCTCCGTGGTTTCTTTTCAAAACTGTTTTATTAATTTGGACAGTTGGGAAGATTTTTGGGTTTCTCACCTTCAAAACGGAAGGAGGCGGAACCAATTCCCCACCCCCGGTCAGAAAGTGTTGGGGATGTATCCGCCCATCCCCGCGGGATTTACGCCCATGAGGATTTTACGTTTCAGTGTCAAATTAAATAAAACATTAGTAACAAACGTGATGTTGAACAAGGCGTTTTTCACACTGAACGTGCCGGTGTCTGGAGGTGTAAAAACAAATCAACGTCTCACATCACATTGTTATATTGTGCCATAAGCCAAATAGCTAATAAAAGGTGTTAGTTACTGTATACGAAATTAATCGTCGTTATTTTAACTGTTTTGATTTCTGCACTACACCTTATTGACGCAAATATTGTGCCAGACGGTATTTGAGTGGTGTTGAATTATGTGTATTTAAATACAATGTATTGTAGAAACTTGACACGTGACCGTTCTAGATTAATAAAATTGCAGTGTCCAAGTCACGATTTAACAAAGCAAAAGCGGACTTGGGGATCAGCTATTAAAGGGACACATTCCAATCTACGGCGAGGTATTTGTGTTTAATACCCCCTTTCTGCATTGGCCTCGCACGTCCGTATTGCACAAACTTAATTGCAGCTGCTGTAAATAGTAATGCACTAATACAGTTTATCCTTTAAAATTTAGCAATGTAAATTATCAATATACACACACCAACACCAAAACAGTCATGAGCAACAGAGAAAACAGCTTTATTAGAGCAGTGATGATATCCTAATCGCAGATTACAATGTATATATAATCATGGTTTTATGCACACAAACAATACCACTAGGCTACAAATAGGTGAACATAGAACAGATAAACTAATAGTGGTTTTCCCGGCTATTTTAAAAGATTTATCATTCATATTCACCGTTTTTAATATTCCAGTTCGTCATTCAACATCGATTTAGTAAATACTTCCGATGTTTAATTTCGTCTTTTGTCATACCATTTCCATTGTTGTTCAATCGAATTCAATCCGCGAACGCCCATTTTCGGCGAGGAGTATTCGATTTCGTCTCGTCTACACCGAACAGTTTTATTCAGAAATCAAATTCGTCTTTTGCCACACAATTGAAAGTTTGTCCAATTTCGCAACATTTTTTTCTTTTACTTTCCCTGTTACTCATAAATGTTGCTTGTTTTTTAATCGATTTTCCTTGGAAAAGAAATCTTATTGACTCTCTGTAACAAAGTAAAATAAGGGTCATCGACTTAATTCGTATCCTGTCCTTGTTAGAAACTTTGTTGTATGGACCTCGGGAACAAGGAACATGGTAAATAACCCACGCCAGACTAATTTACTTAGCAATTTTAAATTGGTTGGCATAAGACGAATTTAATCTCTGAATACTGCCATTCGGAAACAGCTTTAGACGAATTTGATCTGTAATGACGAATGGTCTTGACAGTGTGTTTAAATGTGGTGACCGGACTTTGGAATTGAATGGTAAACGACTAAATCGCTTTGGTAAAAGCGTGTGAATTTTGTTCTCAGACAAAATTGAATGATACAGTTTTAATGAAAAATGTTTCAAAATAGCCGGGAAAATGTATAGTATGGCCTGCCCAATAATTCGCATTACATTCCTAATTGTGTAAACTTTCATTCATTATCTGCCAAGGCATAGACGAATCAGGGCACGTGATCACTGTACACGAGGCCCCCTTCAATGTCCAAAGCACTGTGCAAGCTATTGCGCAATGCTACTTCCCCATTACGGATTATCTGAACAATAGCTAGCACAATGCTGTTGCCATTGATGGGGGCCTTCGTGATAGAATTGACAGCATGCCCGGATTGGTCTATAGCATGCGTATATAGAGTTTTATATTGTTTTCATTTATTTTATGTTGGGGTGTTTGTTTGTTTGTTTGTTGGGCTGTGGGGGTGTTTTTCACAAGAAAAAATGCTTTAACTTAGCGTATAGAACTGTATGACAATACAAGGTTTTCAACCATCCTGGGTTTTGATCCAAGAACTTGTTTCAATTAAATTAAGCCATTAAAAAAGTTATTCATAATTATTTGAAAAGTGACTTCGGCCTTATAATTTCGCTTTAAAAAAAGTCGACATCAAGTCACACTAAACACCATATGAAACCAGATACGAATCAGATACATCAGATAAGGCAGTGGACCTATTTTGAATTTTGTTTTTTTGTCGTTTGTACCCAATTTGAACGTTTTTGTACTCACAAGTTGTTTCGAATAAATGTTTCTGATTATGAAATAAACCCAAAAGAGACTTTACAGATAAATAAAAACTACCATTTGTCAATGCAGTGTTTATTATCCATGTCTTTATGTTTAACACAACTTGTAATTTTGCCTTTAATTAATACGTAAATTTGTTGAAAGTGTTCGCGAATTGAGAGGAGAATTTACTGCGCCTTGATAGTTGCAGACCAGTAAATCAGTCCGAAATTGTCCACGCCGTCCAAATCACGATTTGCATGCCCTCAAAATCTTCAGTATTTGAGCATGCTGTGGGCCATGAACTTGAGGGTTTGTAAAAAAATATGGGTGGAAGCCGTGCACAGGTCTACAGGACTGTGAACTTGTAGTTCCGTTCAATTTGGATGAAATTGGGGGCCCTTAAAGCGCTATTTTGCAATGGAGTGTAGGCATCGTTTTTCAAAATGGCGATGGGCTTCAGGACTATTTTCAGGGGTGATCATCTTCGGATGGAAATTCTACCTAAAAGTCATCAGTTGACCCCAAAAATTGAAATGAAAATGAAAGATGATTAAATAAGCTTTAATTTGATGTGTGTCTCGAGCACCTTGGAGAGTTGTGAGTATTTTTCCTGAATTGCTGAAGGGGGAGCATTTACCATTGGGGTCTGTGGAAGTTTATTTACTGGTCTGTAACCTGATGTGCAACTGCAAGATGTTCCTGCTCGGCCAAAAACCTAGTTTGCACTGAACTGTGTAGATATGAGGCTGAAGAGATGTGTGCAAATACAGCCAGCCACCCTGATGCTGACATAATGGCTCCAATTTAGATCGTTCAGTCGCCAAAGGTTCATGGGTTTGCTTTGTTTCATCTCAAAGGCTTTTTCATGACCGTAGACTTGAGTAAAGGGGTATGGAAACCCGGACACGTAAAAAGACCATGCGAGTGGCAGGCTCATTGGCTCCGTGCGCCGTCATCAGGGGCGTAATTCCCTGGGCGAGGGTGGGGTGGGGGTATACACCCCCCATACTTTTTGACCGGGGACTGGGCTGTTGAATCATCCCCCACTTTTTTGGGATGAGAAAAAAAATAGGATTTTGACGTATTTTCCGAACGTCCCAGCACTGGAAAGTGGAGAAACAACGTAAAAAAGCTTTTAAAAACCATAATCCACGGAGAGTTCATCTGTCCCAGCGCAATATGGGAGATGGTCGACAAATTCGCAGCGCGGGACATTTGAAATTGTTATTTTTTCCGGTCAGTAGTTTCGTAAGCGTATGATTCGAGAATAAATCTGCTTTTTCTTTTCTTTGTAGCAATTTGTTTTAAGTAATGCGGCAGAACGCTCTGCCCAAACAGGGGCGGATCCAGGAATTTTCGCAGGGGGGGGGGGGTTCATCAGCAAAAAATCTGAAAATGTACACAGGTTTTTTCTCCAGACACTCGGCATCCGTAAAATCAAAAACTGGGGGAGGGGGGGGGGGGGGGCTGGTACCATATGTCAATAGGGGGCGCTGTTCAAATTCGACGATTATTAACACTAGATTACAGAATGGTGTACCGTATTTTGAACAGGCGGACATTATACCAGTATAATTTTTTGGGGGGTGTCACGGGGGGGGGGGGTTCGACTTTTTTTTTGAAATTTGTATGATAATTTTTTTTCGGACAGAGCTGGGGGGATTTGACCCCCCCCCCCCCCCCCCCCCCCTCTGGATCCGCGCCTGCCAAATTTAAAGCCAATTGGCTAAGGTTGTTTAATGCCACTCATTCAAATGGGCCTTGTTTTGTCGACCGCAATTTGAAAAACTGACTCTCCATGGCAAAATCTTGGTGGCGCACTGCATTGTGAATTGCCCGAATTTTATGATTTTGGTCATCCCCCATTCCCCCCCCCCCCCCACTTGCCGGCACAGATTTACGCCACTGGACGTCATTGCACTCGCGTGGTCACGATTCTAATCATGCCACCAGCTGACGTTAATGTGACATTGTAATAATGGCATCATTCCCCAGACTTATCGTAAGTACATGAAAATATTAATTTTCCCAAGGATGACTTTTAGCTAAGGGATCTGAATTAGAATCGTACAAATAAAATTCCCTAGTAAATATTTGAAAACGGGTAGGTAGTTTGATATAAATATAATAAGGTAGGGGAAACTTGCTAGAATTTCTCTCAATCAGCGCGACATGTCAGTGCCGGCCGAAAGACGCGCGATGCGAAACAATTGATGAGACAGAATAAGGACGAGTTTGGTAAGGTTAATTGCTCATAGTGACCCTGAATAGTCATCTGCTCCGTAGGCCTACATAAGAATGATTGTAGAAAAAAGTTACGTAACAGCATTCATGTGTATAGCGCGATGCATCTTTCGTGCAGCTATGAAACAGAAATAAAGATTTTGTTTTAAACGCAAAGAGAAAAGCACTTATCGAAACAGCATAGTTGTTAAGCTGTCCGACAGCGGATCCAGGGTAAGGGTTCGAACCCGCTTGGTGTCATTTTTTGGTTTTCAATGCCCGCGGTTCTGTCATTTAAGAGTATTAATTTCCCGTCGTCATTTACCAACAGCAGTTAGCTCGGTCGGTCGGTCGGTCGGTCGGTAAGCTGACTCACAAGTTGGGACTGTCTGCGAAGTCAAGGTTGGCATCTGCGTATAGGTACGGGGTTCTTTTGCTGACTCGGCAGCAAGGCTTAGGGTGCCACCTCGTTTCCTCCCTTTATGGTGCCTGACTTTCGAGTTACATGGATGGACAGGGAAGGAGGTGTGGTGGGCCGGGTACCGAGTCCCGGAAGAGTTCTATATGGAAGTCGGTAAGGGGCTCATTGAGTTAGGGTCATAAGTCCGACTCCTGAAGACTTGGCCATCGCCACATAACTTTTTGTTTTATTTTCTCTTTCTTTTCTATTGGAGGACAATTGCAGGAATGATTGATTTGTTATATTGAGAGCTTGTACTGTAATCGTTCGAAATTAATTTTTAAAATTGCTCGAAAATACAAAATTCAATCCAGCTATAATGTTTTATATCATTGTCGCAAAACTGCATGTTCATGCTCATTACCTTTGCGCATGCCTTGTTCAGGCCTGTTCCCTGATCCCAGACTGCAGGGCGGGGGGGGGGGGGTCTCTAAATCCTATAGTGGATTTTGTTTATATTTTTATATTTTTTATATGCACAGCTGTAGCTGTCAACGCCTGTATATGAAGTGACTTCGTGCGGCAGCTTGTGCCGACATGACAGAATGCACAATCATTTGCCATGGGTTGCAGAACCTGATTTTAGCTTCGCGGAGTTTTGAGCAGCGGTGTTTATTATTAAAATTCTCCACTTTGT